AAATAATTACTTGGCTATAGTAAGTATAATAGTAATCTAGTATAAGAAAATATTAAATATAATTCCGAGAATAATATATAATTTAAGGAAATATAGAAGACTAAGGAAAAGCTTAATTAAGAGAAAAAGATTAAGTGAGTTTTAGAAAATAAAATAAAAGAAAAAGCTAATAATATATAAAAAGCTTTAGCTAAGATATATAATCTCTTTTTGAATTAGTATAAAAATTAGTATAAAACTAACTAAAATAGAAATATAAATATATTAAGTTTATAATATAATAGGAAACTTAGTAAAAGAAAAAGAGATTCTTATTTTATAAAATTAGATTATTATATAGTAAATATGAATTTTACTTATTTTTATATTAATTATTAATTATTATATAGTAGATATGAATTTTACTTATTTTTATATTAATTATTAATTATTAATTATTATAGTAACTATATTATACTTATTAGTCTTACTAAATTCTTTATATTAGATAAAAAGGCTATTTAGAGAAACTTGGCTAGTTAGATATAGAAAGATAATAAATAGGTTAATTTTCCTAATTCTATTATTTAGTAGCCAGAATCCGAGACTAAATTAAATATTACTAGCTTTTATTTCTTTACTAAATCTCAAAAAGGCTATAAAATAGTAATACTACTAGTATATACTAGAAAGAAACTAAAGAATAGCTTATACTAATATGTTTTTTTATCTAATTCTAAGTTATAAGTTATTAAAAATATTATAGTTATTTAATAATATTTGAGAAATTTTTTTAGTAAAAATAGTAATTAGCTAGATATTATATCTTTAAAATACTAGTAATTATAATTATACTAATTTTTATACTAATCTTATTATTTTTTATTAGTATTAATAAAAATACTTAAAATTCTATTTCTTTTCTAATACTTTAAATATTTTACTATCTTTAAAATCTTAGCTATTATTTAGGTTTTATTCTATAATACTATATAGTAAGTACCTAAAAAGATTTATTTTACTTTAGTACTTATTACTAGAATTAAGAAAATATTAATTACTATAAGTAAGAGCTTTAGCTAGTACTTTCTTTATATATCTTAATATTATTATTAAAATATAAATAAGTCTCTAATATTATATGGCTTCTTCTAATAATAATTCTTATATTTATCTTAACTTACTAGTTATATATATTTTCCTAATATCTAAATAATCTTATTAAAATTATCTAGTTCTCTCTTTATTAGCTATTTAATTTCCTTAATTAGTACCGAATTATTAGAAATAGATATTTAATCTTAATATTTCTCCCAAAGATTTTTAACTTTAATTAAAATAGGCTAAATTTATTTTTTCTTCTAATTAGCCCTAATATATTTTATATAATAATTCGGATAAAGTATAAGAGTAATAATATAAAGAGGTATATTATTAGACTTATAATAATATATATTAAAGATCTCTTATTCTTTCTAGATTCGAATATAAAAGTCTTTATTATTTATATATATATTTAATTATATTATAATTAGTATTATTAATTCAAGTAATAAAGATTAATATAAAGATTAGTATAAAGATTAGTATAAAGATTAGTATAAAGATTAGTATAAAGATTAGTATAAAAATTAGTATAAAAATTATTACTTATTAATAATCTATTAAATACTCGAATTAAAATATTTATTATAAAAAGTATCTAATTAATAGTTATAGTATTTCTTTAAGTCTTAAGAATAGCTCTATAGAATAGTTTAAAAAAGATAGAAATTATCTAAAGCCTTTTCTAGTTTTCCGGACTAAAGTAATCTGATTTCAGATCTATAAAATACTTTTTATAATAAATATTAAGATAAGTATATTACTAAAAAATAATATTAAATATTATATACTAGTTATTCTATTATATCTAATTATTAAGAGAAATTATTCTTCTAATAAAAGCTTTAAATCTAGTAATCTAACTAGGAAAGTAATAAATATATATAATAATATTATAAAGCTAGTCTAATAGTTCCAAAAATCGAAATTTTATTTGTTTTTCTTTATTATTTAATAGGGCTTCTAAATCTCCCAAGTTCTCTTATTTATTAAATATCTCTAATTCTTTATTTATAAAAATATTATAAAATAAAAAGGCTTATATAGAAAAGTTAATAATATATCCTAAATAATAAACTCGCTATTATAAAATATCTTATTCTAATTCTTCTTTCTTTAGTAAATAAGCCTAAATAGCTTAATATAATATATTATTTATACTAGTATTATTACTAATAATGGCTCTAAGTTATTTAGTAATATTATAGTCTTAAAATATAGGTTATAAAACTATAAATTAGTTTTCTCCTAAATAATCTAGTACTATATAAAGAGCTAGAAGGGCCTTTATATAATTCTTATCTTATTATTTAATAAAATATATAATAATACCTAAAAGAAAATATTTTTATAAAAAAGTTCAGATATTAAAAGCGAGATAAATACTTGAAACTATAGGTTAGAGTTTTTATTATATAATATTCTTTGAGCTAATCTAATATTTCCTAAGCTTTTTTCTTATATAAAAATAAGTTATAAAAAGAAAAAAACTAAGATTCTGAATTAAATACTTAATAAAAGATATGAAATTCGGGCTATTTAATTATTTAAAAAAATAGATTATAAATAATAATTAATAAAATTAAAGCTTTATAAATTATTACTTAATTAAAATATTATTAAAAAATATATATATTAATTTCAGTTATTTAGTTAAATAACTTTACTTATAAGTAAAGCTATTATAGCTAGTTAATTACTTTTAATTAAAATAAACTAATTTCTGATCTGCTTTTAATAATAATATTATATACTAACTTAAGATAATTATATTAATTAGTAGAGACTAAATATTATATGGCAACTGCGTGCTAGTAGTCACGTGCAGGCTCACGTGACTACATTCCTGTATTTAAGCTTTGGCCACTTGTACCAGACCTCTCTTTCCTCTAATTCATTTATATATTATTATTATAATATAATAATAATGTTTTATTATAATACTAAAGTCAAATAAATATTTAGTAGATTTTCCTTTTTATAAAAAAGATAATAGTAGTATTTGGGTAGTTTTCTTATATCTAGATACCCGAAATAAATATAAGCCCAAATAGCTCTTATAAGTTCTCTTTATTTGAAATCAGATTTGGATTAAGTTAAGTTTATATTAGTAAAGGCTTAATAGATTAATAAGGCAGATTTAGAAGCCATATTTAAATAATAGAAAATAAAATACTATTATATATTAAAAAGAGAATAAAAAAAATATAAAAATTTTAATCTTTTTTAGAAATAATAATAATATAAATCTTAGTATTATATATTAAATACTGGCTAGTCTATATTATATAATAGACTATTAAATAGAAAGTATAATAGTATATTTATAATAGTTTATTTTTATACTAATCTTTATACTAATTAGTTTATAATTAAACTAGAAAGCAAGATATTTATATAATAGAACTTGCTTAATAGCTAGCTAGGTTTACTTTTATTAATAGTATTATTAAGGTAATAAGGCTTGCTTAAGGGCTAGCTAGGCCTACTTTTATTAATAGAATTATTAATAACTAGATTAAATACTAGCTAGTCTATATTATAATAGACTATTAAATAAAAAGTTAAAAAGTCTAATAATATAGTAATAATAGTTTACTTTTATACTAATTTTAATACTAATTAGTTTATAATTAAACTAGAAAGCGAGATATTCATATAATAGGGCTTACTAGCTAGCTAGGCCCACTTTTATTAATAGTATTATTGAGGCAATAGGGCTCGCTTAAGGGCTGGCTGGGCCTACTTTTATTAATGGAATTATTAAGGTAATAGGGCTCGCTTAATGGCTGGCTGGGCCTACTTTTATTAATAGAATTATTAATAACTGGATTAAATACTAGCTAGTCTATATTATATAATAGACTATTAAATAAAAAGTTAAAAAGTCTAATAGTATAGTAATAATAGTATACTTTTATACTAATCTTAATACTAATCGGTTTATAATTGAACTAGAAAGCCGTAATGGGGCTCGTTTAATGGCTGGGCCCACTTTTATTAATGATAATTATCGATATCGATCATTTATTAATCGCTTAGCCGATAACGATTACTAATTAATAATTTCGATCGATAATTTATCGGAGCCCACACTGCCCCGGCGGGACAGTAGCGGTAGTAGTCTTGAACCTCCTCGCCCTTCCAAAGCTAGCAGGAGGGCAGGGAAAAGAGGAAGTAGAGCGAGTCCTGGCCGGGGTGCTGGGAAGTTTTGCTACTGTTGTGTACAACTTTCAGTTTTCAAAAAAACTATAACTCGTCCTTGAGGCAACATTTTCAGCCAAGTTTTCCGCGTTATTTTTGAATTCGTTGCGTTTGAGGTGGTACGACAGCAAATATTTTAGTGTGCGAAGAATGCATCCTGGGATGCTGGGGAATGATTCGCTGTGGAGTTTCACAGGATATCTGGTTTCGTAAAATTTTGAGAGAGGGGGGGGGATAGAAGGATGTTTACTCGTCGTTCTCGGGTAAAGGAACTAGTTCTGTAAGATTTGGGGGGATGGTGGGGCATTCTTACTCGTTGCTTTTGCACGGCGTCGCTGGTTCTGTAAGATTTGGGGCGATGAGAGAGATGCTTACTCGTTGATTGTCAAAAATTTGCGGACAAATTTGCGGGTCTGTTGTGTTAGCCGACATGCTGGTAACATGATATTTCCTGTCATTAAAAAAAATCGTTGAGCTTTACTCGTACTTGGACTTGGTTTTGAAGATATCGGCTAATTCAGGGGCTCGCTTGAGCGGTTCCTTGGCGCTAAAACTAAGCTCTTGCCCCGCCGAGGAAAGAACCTTCGATCACTTTCAACCACACCTTATGTTCTCACCCAGTAGATTGATGTCATTCTCAATAGGGTTTCTCGAGATTTGGCCTCATGATTTCAGGGGGTGCAACACCCAACCTCATCGCGGCATAGTTCCAGCTCCTACTCAGCCTCCACAGCTTCCACCAGAATGAGTCAGACCGATCTTAAGCCTTGAGCTAAGACACTGTATTCACAGCCACTACATATCAAAAAGGTAGACGCCCTTGGAGCTTGAAATCAATTCACAATATTTGCCACTTCAAGCTCGATTAATCTCATAATGGCGCACCAAACCCATGCTCTGCCCTGGACCACCCTAGCCTCGAACTTCAAATACAACATATCGTATCACTCACATCCTCAACTTCTGGACATTCACCCCCAAAAGAAACCAAATCAAGCCAAAGACTTGGCGTACTTCTGCAAAGCGTTCGCGAAGCAGATTCACGATTTCGGTGTTACTGAACGAGCGAAGTACCCACCTGTCGACCACTACAAGAAGCGTGCTTCAAGTTGGGTGAAATCCGAAGTTCCAGCCTCAGAGACCGAAGGAAATGGCAATTCGGGGAAGCCTGGAAAGGGCAGAAAAGCATCAAAGGAAGAAATCGAGACGAGGAAAGTCATTCCGACCAGACTCATCAAACGATACCCTTATGTCTCCCTCCCCCATTGCGATCGCAGAGGCCAGAACGTCCAGTCTTGGCTCCTAGATATGCCTCCAGAGCACAAATTCGTAGGGTACGGAAACTGGATACAAGCGGGAGAGATCATCAAGATCCTCATGATGGAGGCATCCTCGGCTCCGCCTGCACTGTCTGCAGAGACTGCCAAGGGCGATGCTGCGGATGGCGAAAGTCTGAAGGTAGAAGCGATGGAGACTCTACTTCTCATGGCCAACCATCCCAGAATGAAGATTCTTGAGCTGAAAAATATGCATCACGGACATCATTTCGGTGTTTCTCGTGTTGCAGAAGAGGCTATCAAGGTATACATTTACCTGAATCTAATTATTGCGATGAGGGATGGTGGATCAGATGTTTGTGACTCTGTTGATACTGCTGAAGGTGAGAATGAAGGGAAACAGAAGAGGAAGTTCATGGGTTGCGAGAGTTACGAGGGGATGCTGAGGAATGTGGCAGGGAGCTACGATGGAGATGCTCAGACGTTGGTTCATCGGGTATTCTTTTTGGGGGGTCCGGCTGAGTCGTACTGGTGGGGACAGACGTCGAGCAGAGATGTACTCGGGGATCTGGAAGGGCTCAGAGAATACTTGAAGGGTATTTGGAGGGTAATGGTCATCTACGATGTTATCATAAGAGAGGCTGGAGGTGACCCCACCTGGGAGAAGGAGTATGAGTGGGCTTTTAATGCAATGTTTGGAGTTCGATATGAGATGGACTACTAGGCTACTGTACTAGATAACTTAATCCACCTTAATAAGCAAAGCTTCTTTTTCGTTGCGCACATCATTGCTTGGAGTCGTGGCGTTGGGAATCTTGAGCTAGCCCCAGCTTCCGGTAAGATATCTACTTCTAATGCGATCCCCACAACGAAGAGGCTTCGTCAAAGGGTAAAAGAAAACAATTAAATTACCTGAACCTGGCAATTCATCCGTCGAGAGAGTGTGTTTTCGTCCATTGCTCTCTGCAACGCCCCTCCGCTGCCCAGGCAGCTTCTTGCTGCTCTGGTGAAAGTTCGGTAATGAGCTCCTCCATCGCATCTTGTCGTTGAAGTTCGCGTCGGAGGTGGTCCTCTCGCTCTTGGACTGCAGATTTCGAGTCTTTTTGATTGGTGGTGCTGGGAGCGTCTAATTGTTCGTCAATTAAAATCCACGTAATGTAATTGCTGAGCAACGACTCACTTCCTTTCACAACTTGCAAGAACCTCCGGTAGAAGCCGTGAATACGACTTGTTGCCTTGTTCTGAGGCCCAACAATTTTGATGAGACTGAGTTCGTGGGATGTTCGACTCAAGTCCAGCCCGTCCCTTTGCTCGAAGAAAAAGTCCTTGAACTGAGAGAACGCCTTTGATTCGAACAAGAAATCATTGCTCAAAATCACATCGTACGGCAGACCGTCCATAATATGAAAATCGCAGGGTCGGGAAGTCGAATCCTCCTTGCCAAACCGCCATTCAACACCAAAGGCGATACCACAGGTATTTGCGAGACTGCCATCAGCGAATTCGAGGCAGGTTCTGTAAGCATTATCCGTTGAAACCCAGTGAATGAAACGGCGTTCCTGTACATACTGCTTGGATATGAGCATCACATCCGAGCCAGTATCTGGCAGAGCGACGGCAGTATGACCGTTGATTGAGCCCAAAATCCGCTGTTTGGGGGCTCCTAAGAGTCTCAAACGAGGTATGTGAAGAGAGGGGACGAATTTGCTCTTTAAACGACTAGAAAATCTGGTAAGAGTCTCTGTGGTTCTGAGGAAGGAGTTGCTGAGAATGACGTCGTGGACGCAACTTGGCATGACTGTGAAGACTATGCTGAATGTTGACTTCTCTCCTTCAAATGAGAATGGAAGGGATACTGTTCCGGTGGAAATGGTCTCCCGGTTAGGTAACTGAATAGATCGCTGGAACTCAGAGTCAAGCTTTATCCCGTGGAGCTTGATAAAATGGTCTGAAACAATGTTCAGCTCAGAGCCAGTGTCTGGGATTGCTAATACGCTGATGCCCTTGAGGCTGCCCATAATAACCCATTCTTCTCTACCCGGTGGAAAGAGAACATTGTAAAGGAACTTCGCTCCAAGATGTACCACCGTAAGGAGAACCTTCGAAAGGCATGGGGCCAGGAGGCTAAGTATCTCGAGTATAGCCACCGTTCGTCTGCCACTGGGTCACTTTTCAGATCTCGAAACTCCACAGAACACTTACTTGATATTTGACCAGCCATAACTACTTCTCTGTTCCAGGGCAAATTGAGCCAAGTGGGTCATTGGAATCGTTGCAAAATGTGAAAAGAATGTTCATCATCACGAAGAGGAACCAGATCAGACTTTGTTTGTCCAAATCGTGGTATCGATTGGAGGAGTGGATAACTGTTACCGTAGTTGATAGAACAGGAACCATTGCGAAAAGTAGTGCGAGATTCCAAATAGAGAGCAGAATGTGTTTATCACCTGCCCAGATGGATACTGCAATTGTGATTGGCACAGCAGAAAGAACCGGGACAAAGTACCAGTAATAATGGAGGGGGGGTGACCCAAAAGGGATAAACTTAAAGGCGTCGAATCCTAGTCGCTCAACATCATTATTTCTTTGGGAGAACGCCCAAGGATTGTAGGGCTTCAATTCAAAGCGGCAGTTCCACCAGCTTCTTGGTAGCACAGTCCTCTCCTGCACCTGAAGTCCAAACCGAAAGTTTATGAGGCGCGAGATGGCTCGAAAGGTGTGAGCGGCGGTAATGCGATCCATTGCCCAGCTCAAGTCCGATGGAACGAAGTCAACACATCTGAAGCCAATAGTCATCCAGTTGAGAAGTAACCATAACTTTTTGAGGAGGTTGACATATTTCGGATTCAGCAATCGGATAAGGTTGCTCTCAAGATCTTCACACGCAGCCTGAAAACAACATCCCACGGCAATAAACTTGAGGATGAAGTTGTAGTCGACAATTCGCACAGAAGAAGCAGGGAAAATTTCGTGGCGTAAATGCGCAAAGACTAACTGGAAATATGCCCATACCAGAAGACTAACACTGAATGCCTTGCAGAACCTGCTCATCGATCTGCATCGAGACATGAATGGATCGAGATTCTCCCAGATACGGCCAATTATGCTCCATATACGTTGAGGTGGTGGTTGCTTCAACAGGCGTGCGTGGAATTTAGAAATGTACAAGGGGAGGGATAGACCATGGCCAAATGCGAAGATGACGACTGCAGCGCAGTAGAGATGCGCTGCTAAAACTATCCATTCTTTTTTACTCAGCATGAATCTAAGTTGCCATCAGTTACAGCCTCCTTCATAGTAGACAGAGCCCTACCTAACGCCATTAGCTTTGGGTTCGAAAAAATGGTCAAAGCCGGGACTGAAAGGTAGTGCCCAGTCATCGAGTCTCCATCTAATTCTATAGGTTAAGTTGAATCTGTGTGACAATTAGTCAGAGCCGACTTCATATTATGATGGATGGAAACCTACATAAGAGGATCAGGCTCCGGCTGGAAGAAGTGGTCGAAGACGGCAATGCTCGTCGAGGCTGGCTGCCAAGGCTGCCCGAGCCCACACATCGAATAACGCAGCCAGGACGGCGCCGTAGAATCCTGGAATCTGATGAAGGCTCTTTAATCGACAAATTCAAGAGTTTTAGGGCAGAGGAGGGATGGAAGCAATTGAAAAAGTGGGAATGCAAGGTGGGTGGTTGCGAGCCAGGCTAGTCCGCCTCACCGTCTGCCAAACCCGCGTGGCTTGCTGCGCCCCTCTCGATGGGTGCCAACTCACCCAAGTCATCTTCAACTCAGGCTGGCGGCTAGATATCTCATGATAAGTATTCGATTCCATTGATCACCAAATGGCAGGAACAATGAGCTCTGTCACCAATTTATGAGTCGCAAACCTCTAGACCCGGAGGCAGGAAGGCCGCCTGAGGCATGGCGGGATGGATACCCGGCTGTCGCAGCATGGATGGCGAAAGATCCGGACAGCGAGTCTTTCGTCTATCGCAAGTTCGATAAACTCAGCGCGCGGAACTTATTGAACCTCCAGAGCGAACTGATAGATCTGGAATCGAGACAGGACAAGTTCGATGAGGAGTCGAGGAACTCAAACGACCTGGTCCTGAAACAATCGAATAGGAAATGGGAGACTTTTGTGAAGAATGCGGCAGAGCGTGAGCAGGAAAGACAACGAATGGAGCTTAATAAGGAGATTCGAGCGAAGTTGAGAGAGTATCGTGAGTGATAACCCTCGCCATTGTGATGCCTGGAGGTTGATTTGAAATAGACGAGACTCTCCTTCTTCAGAGTCAAATCGCAAATCTAGAAAGACCGAGTAATCGAGTGTTGTCTGCATTCCGTAGCTGGTTTACAGGTGGAATCCAACCGGCAACTGGAGCAAAGATCGACCCAGTGCTAGGTGGAAGAGCAAAAGATACGCTCGATGACCGCCACGATCTTGTAGCCCTGCGAACGCCGGCGGATAAAGATCCATTGTCGTTGTTTTTGCAGAACCACTGGCCATTTCCTGTCCGTATCTCCCCAAAATCTATCTATGTGATACTTACTTGTGTACCAGGTTCGAAGAGCTGAAGATGGCCAAGGAACTACTGGCCACTATCTTGAAAAGCATGTTGTTTGGGCAGTTGCAATCATCAGCACAATCATTGCAGCCATACTGCTCATTGGAGCAATAGTTGGCCTGTACACCGTGCAGAAGACTGAGTGGCGTTTGATCATGTTGAGCTGCTTCACGGCCCTTTTTGCGATCAGCGTGGGGCTTTTGACGAGTGCTCGGAGAGCCGAGATATTTGGATCAACGGCAGCGTATGCGGCTGTTCTGGTGGTATTTGTGTCGAGTAACCTGGCTACTCTCCCTCCTGGGGGCTAGAAGAAAGCCAAGAATAATGAAAGAACCGAATCCAGCTACGATTCTCCTTATTGCCCCCTAGAATATCGAAACGAGACCTGTAATTACACGAGACCATAACAGCAAACTGAAGGGGAAAATGGCCTTCTCTACCTTCTCTCTCTTGCACCAGCCTCCCGACTCCCCGCCCCTAGAATATCGAAACGAGACCGTAACAGCAACCTGAAAGGGAAAATGACCTTCTCTACCTTCTCTCTCTTGCCCCATATCTAACCCTTCTACACAATGACACCAGTACAATTTTTTTTCGCTTTCCAATCCTAGCTACTAGGAAAGGAAGGCAACGCTCTAGTGTCGGAGAGGAATATGAAAGGAATGCGAAAGGAACACGAGAATGATATAGAAGGGAAGTGCAAATCGCAGAGAGGAGAGCGTCATCACTCATCGCTCATCGCTCATCTCGAAATCTTCTTGCAACTAGCAAGATATCACCTATTCATCTCTTTCAAAACAGTGCTAGATGAAGCTGAAAAGCACCAAAGCCATAGGAGAAGTACGGGGGCTGACTCGAACAACTTTTCCATTCCAAAAGCCGAGTACCAATCCTGTCCTTGTAATGCAACGTCAATCTACATACCCCCAATCCATGCTGATCAGTTCGATTTCGATGATTCGATCCCCAGACCCACTATCAGCTCCTCAGAAATCTCACGCCCTCCCCACGCCTATCTAAAACTCAAAATCCCCCCTGAACCCTTCAATATCCATGCCGACCACCACCCGCTCCGCCAGATCCCTGCGGTTCATCTGGCTAAACACCCGTCGTAACGTATCATACAAATTCGTGCTCTGGTTCTGGCTAATCATCCGCTCGAGCTCCTGCTCCGTGACGCCTAGTCCGCCTTGCCCCCCTATCCCTCCGCTACCACCACCAAGAATATCTCTCGCCTTCTCTCTTCCCTCATTTTCGACCACTTTGTGCATAGCCAGCGCACCAAGCAGGTGCTCGGCAGCTTGCTCATAGCTGCCAATATTGATGCAGCTAACCCCCAGATTGTATCTAGCACGAACGAAGTTCGTCCGCAGCGTCAGCGCTTTCTCGTAAGCATTGATCGCCTCCTCACTCCGTCCGGAATTCGCAAGTGTAGCACCGAGTCGGTTCCAGAGGAGGTGGACCTGGTCCCGCTGATTGACAGACCCGGATTCCGTAGACGCCAGCGCGGCGGAGAAACAGTCGACGGCCTTGCCGTACTCTTCGGCCCCGTAGAACAGCACGCCGAGCCCGACTTGCACGTCGGGATCCATGTGCTCCCCATCTGGACTGAGTTGCGCGGCGCGGATGAAGAGGTCGGTTACTTTTTCGTGTAGCAGGTGCCGGTCGGTGAAGCCTAGGTCGGAGGGAGAGGAGAGGTCGGTGGGGGAGATTATGGTGGGGTATTTGATGGAGAGCCAGCGCTCCAAGGTTCGGTAGGCGGTGGAGTCGTAGCCTTCGTTTGTGTAGGAGACGGCGAGGCCCATAAGTGCGGTTAGGTTGTTAGGATCGAGGTTTACTGCTTGCTCTAGTGCCCGTATGGCGGGGATTTCTTTCTCGTTTTGAGCTTGTGCGGATCCGAGAAGGACCCAGGCGTCGATGTGTTGCGGATCTTTTTGCACTGCTGCTTCGAAAGCCAGGGCTGCGAGAGACAAGTTACCTCCTTCGTGCATGATTCGCACGCCTTCTTCGAACGGATTCGAGACATCTTTGAAGAGGTTATCTTCTTCAAACATATACTCCCCTAAATGCGGATCCCGAAAGGGACTTTGATGAGCCCCAAGATCATCGAAACCATCCCATTGATCGAAATCACCCATATGTTCCGCGATGTTCTCCTCGGAAACTAGTTCTCTGGCAGCGGCAGTCTCAGCTTGTATGCCCTTCCAAATCGACTCAAAGTCGCCAAATTCATTGGTCTCGGATTCGAGGACTGACCTGTCCATTTCATTGAGCTCTGCTTCCCCGGCCATTGCCTCGTCTTGCTCTCTGGCCTCGAGATCAATCTGCTTGAACTGCTCTTCCCAGTGCTCGTCATCTAGCTCGATCATCTTGCCTTTTCCTTTGGCATCTTGCTGTTGTGAGAAGTTCTGCTGTGGTTGGAATTGAGGGCGGTTCATCATCCCCAGTCCCATTCCCATGCCGCTGCCCATCATCCCCATCCCCATCCCCATTTGCGGAGCCTGATACGAAGAGAAGCCATTCTGCATAGGACTTTCTGTCCTTATAGCAGGTCCCATCTGCTGAAACCTTTGAAAATCCGCTGGACTAAACGCCGTGCCTTTCGGAGCTTGGAACGCAGCCTCCATCCTTGCCTGCGTCTCTACACCCGGATTGAACTCTTGTGCCCATCCCCCCAGTCCAGGCGAACTCGAGCCAGTTCGCATATAAGGATTTCGGTGTAAATCGTGTTGCATAGCGAACGCTTCCGGCATCTGGGGGCCCTGTTGCATGAAGTCGTTCATCATCTATTTCCGTCAGCCCCCTTCCCCCAGAATAAAACAGTAGGGTATCACTCGAACTCACAGCATCCTGACTCCCACTCATCCCCAGCCCATTACTCCTCATGCCCTGCAGATTCGCCGGGCCTCTGCCAACCAGGCGATCGCGCTGCAAACTCTTATCATCGCTGCCCAGCTTCGAGAACTGCGAGAGAGGGTTGCCGGCTGTGCTGCACTCGGCGCCGCCTAGGAAGGACATCTTTGCTTTCCAGCCCTGCGCTCTCTATCTCGTGTCCTGTGCCTTCAAAACGCAAACGTCTCTGTTCGCTCGCCACGCCACAGCTCGCCCTTTGTTTATCGCTTTCGCTTTGCTCCGAATATGACGCACGAGTGGAGGAAGTCGTAGGAAGGCAAATCTATATGCAGATGCTCGCAAGTGTTATACCAGAAGGAGCGTCGTGTCGTCGTCGGTAAAGGAGTTCGTCGTGTGTTTCGTTTGTCGGGGTCAAATTGTGGGGAAGCAAGTGCTTGCTCGGAGCATTTCAAATCGTCAAAGGCTGCCTGTTGTTGCTTCTGCCGAGGTGTCGCGATTCCCGAGCCGCGAAGCGCAGCCTTGTTGACAAATCACATGCCGAGACTTTCTGCTTTCTTTGGCCACCCAATCAGCAGCTACATATCCAAAACCAGAACAACGATCACGAGCTGAGCTATGGGTGAATTGGAAGGGAAGGGAAATTGACAATGAGAGGGTTTAGTTGTAGACAGTATTTAATTGATCTACTATTTGCCCTTCGTAGTCCTACAAAAGAAACCAACCATTCCAAACATAATATGCCGTGAGCGGAGTTTTTAAAACATCTTGGAAATCCTCAGTCTTTCTGCGCCAATGTCCCAAAACGCAGAATCCCTTATTTTACAAGCAAGTGAAAGCTTTAAGACAAGGTAGAAAGATGAGGGTCCCCAAAGTCCATCCAGGCCGATGATGCCTCCGCGCAACTTTTGATACAACTCCCGTGCTCCTACCATCAAATTGCACAGATCCTTCTCCAGCACAGCTCCAGCCCATCGTACATTCTAAACCACCTAGCTAGCGCAGACATGAAAGTGATCAAGCGAGTTGATCAGTATCTGTCCTGTTGCCCGATTCGTCCACCAGAAGGTGGCGCACCACCATCACCCCTTGCCTCCCTGCTACCAGCACTGAAATCAACTCTCAATTCACGACCATAAACCTCCTTTCCAGTCAATGCCTCCTTGCCCTTCACCGCGCTTTCCACGTCCACGAAATCGGCGTGTGCGAAGCCTCTTGGTTGGCCAGTTCGACGATCAATGGCAACACGGACATCGATGACGTTCCGAATCTCACGGAATAGCTTGTTGAGATCAGCATCGGACATCTCGAAGGCCAGATTGCCGATGAAGAGCGTCTTGGAGGGTGGGTTCCCGCCGGAGGACTCGCGCTTGGTCTTGGTCATGTAGTTTACAACCAGGCGGCGGCCTTCGAGGACGGTTTGGTTCTTGGCTTCGATGGCTGCAGCGGCTTCGCTGATGGTTTCGAACTCGACGTAGCCGAATCTACGGTCATGTTATCAGCGATTAATCCCTGCTAGCTATCGAAATTAAATCTGGAAATAAGGGAACATACCCTTTGCTCAATCCTCGAGCATCAGTAGCAACAACAGCGGAACCAATCTTGCCAAAGGGCGCAAACTCCCTCTCAAGATCAGCGGCCGTGACATCGAAAAGCAAGTTGCCAATGTAGATGCCCGGGGTAGGGATCAGGGGTTTGTCAGGTCCGAAGCTGCGATTCTCTGCGTTACGGGCACGCTGCATGCCTCGATCACCGCCGTAGCCGCCTCGATCACCGCCATAGCTGCCTCGATCACCGCCATAGCCACCTCTGCCACCGCCGTTTCTGTCATACGGTTGACGGCCACGACCGCCCGCTCTCTCGTGTCTGGGTTCACGGGGTGTATAAGCATTAGAGCCAGCATACGCGCCAACAGCTGCCGCACCATCGGCGATGGACTCCGTAGCTTGCTCGTACGTCTGGCTCACGGTCTCAGCTGCTGTATCAGCGAACTCTGATGCGTGGCTGGATGCGGACTCGGTTGCAGAGTCGATGGCCGATTGAACGGAACCATGCTCGCCATCAGCAGACTCTACTGATGACTTCTCAGTAGCTTCATCACTGTTGAAGCGCCGGAAAATCGAGGGTGTGAATGCGCTTTGGGCTTTCGTTCGTAGAACGAAAGGGGTGGACGTGGTGATGGAGCGCGAGGAGAAAGCTGCGTGCGAGGACGCAGCGCGGAAAGCTGCTCGGCGGATGAGATGCCTTCAATTTTTCCATTAGCAGAGTGTCAATTGGGAGCTGGGAGATTAGGTTCCACGTACATGATTGCGGATGTGTAAAGAGTGGACGAGTGTGAGGATTCTCGATGTCTTGGAATGAGGAACGATGGCCAGAAACTTTTTTCCACGACATGGACTTTGTTAGCGTGGACACTAGTCCCGATTCGTGCTCTGCACAAGAGCATGTCTCCTATCCCAGCGAAATTTTCGACTATGAGGAAGAAGAGCACGATGGACTCGCAGTGGACAGAAAAAGGGGTACTTGTTTCTAATTTCGCTGTCTAATGTCCTCTCGAGGTATAGTACGTACGAAGCCGAATCCTTCAGACATTATCAAATATATCGAATAATGAAACCTTTCAGAGATCAATTCCAGCATCGCCATGGGACATTGAAAGTAGGGGAGTGCCACATTTCATGTCTAACGCGAAGATACATTTCCAGCAGTCTAAAGGTTTCGTTGAACGATCACAGCTTTCAATTTCCATCTGCCGGTAGTTCAATTGTGTAGAGTCGGCGTATTCAGCCCCTGAGGTCACGGGTTGGAGTCCAAATATCTCAATTTCACACAAAGCAAAGCTCAGAAACAACTGCTGACTCTCGAATTATTTATCCCTTAAACGTCTACGTTTGGAAAGCCTAGTATGCGATGTCTCGCCTGTGGCATAGAACGAGAAGCCACCGTCTGAAGATCAGATGCAAGTTTGCAAACCCCTCTCAATCCATCCCACCCCCCTCAATCCGAAGACCAAGATGAGCAAGACCAGGAAGGGAGAAAAGGTTGCGGGTATAGTATTAACGCCGTATTTCCAATATGCCATTTTTTGTCAGTCATTTTCCCAAGCACCCGTAAAATCAATCATTCTCCAGAACGCCAATTTCTTTATGCAATCCACCGTGAACGCCGCCCAAGACGGTGCCAAGTGAGAAAAGTTAATATGTCATGTCTCCAAAGAGGAGGACAAACCAGCCGCCAGCCATGGGTATTTTGCAAAGTATAGAAACAATCCTGCGGAAGAAATTTGTTCTCCCGACAAATATGGTGGAAACAATGATGGAGATCAACGAGAGAACCGCCAACGCCGCCAATCCAGCAACACATGTCATCGAAGAAACCAGTGTTGATGAACCAGATGAGGGTTTCCCAGTGTCGTAAGTGCAGGCCACGAGTAGTCTGATGCAAAGCAAGTGATGGTTGCTCCGGCTGTGCCGCGGTGTATCGTATCACGTAGGGCCACTTATCGGCAATGCGAGAGCGGCGGTAATGTATAATGTATTTTGTGTCGAAAGAAAGGAAAGCTTAATCGTGACAACGTTGACAAGGGTCAAGTATTGGAGTGATGGCCACGAAGATCAGATGTATGATCCGCGTGAAGCAGCATTGCGCTGGTCGTTGCTGTATTGGACACCGTTCATGCCATCGTTGGGGATGTTGCGGAGCGGGGGCAACTGCTCGGACTGGACACGGTAGCCTGGAGCATGAGAATGAGCAGGGGCTGGCTCCGGAAAGGCGCGGATGACGGGGCCGTGGCCCTCGGGGTTTTGGAGGACGTGAATATCAGTACGAAGCTGGAGATTTTCCAAGCGAACATTCTGCATCTCTTGGCGAGTACCGTCAAGATCCTGCTCCAAGCGGCGATTCTGGGTCTCAAGACGATTGATAGCACGCTTCTGATCCTCAATCACTTGCCTCTGACGGTTATGCTCAGCAATAGCTGGAAGAAGTTAGCACTGCATTCAAGAAATATAAAATGCTGAAGCACTCGCCCTTGGTCAGAATCTCCCACTTGGATGCCTTTGCACCCCGGTCGGGGGCTTGACAGTCACGCAGGTGGTCGAACAGGTCCTTCATCTCCATGCGGCGCTTACGCTCGGCTAGCTTGTGCGAGACGCGCAACTCGGGGGTACGCGAGTATGGCTGAGAGCTCGTCGGGGAACCGCCCTCACCATTTTGAAGTTCGCCAATCTGGCGATGCTGCAGGCTGTGGTGATGAGTCGAGACTTGGTATTCGGAGGACGCACGGGATGCACGAGCTGGGCCGAAGTCAGGCGGCATTCCATCCTCGAGGCGGCGTTGTCCAGGAGGAAGAGCGCGAGACTCGGTCGTAAATTGGCTTGAAGCAACCGAATCGGCGAAGGAATTGCGACGAGAATCATCATAGAATGAGGTACCATGACGATTTCCAAGCTCCTCACTGGGACGAGCAGCAGAGGGCAATTGGCGAACCTCCTCCTCGGGGAATGCCCATGCCTGTCCCTTGGTTGGTTCAGGAGCACGTGCAATGGCACCAACAGCAGGACCTGTGATCAGGGGAGCAGTGCGCGAGGCACTAATACCATCACCCTGAGGCAATCGTTGGAAAGTAGGTTGATAGCCATTGCTCAAGCGAAACGGACCAGAGTTGCGATCTGGATGAGTTGAACCAGGGTTCCGCTGTTGGGCCAGGGAGCTCTGCAGCGAGGTGGTGGATTGGTTCGCCGAGGCATATGGTGAATTGGCCAGTCTCATGTCGTTGAAGTTGATACCAAGAGTCGAGTTGACCGAAGCACGGCGAGAATCATTGGTTGGATTCGCATTCATGCCACCATGTACCTCGTGCTGCGTGGGGAAGCCGTAGTTCGGGTTGTAGGAAGACGGGGAGACGATTGAGGCAACACTCATGGCCCCCGAGGTCGGAGAACTTAAAGCATGGGTCAAATGTCCTGTAGATACCGGCGATGGGGTATTATCTGTGGCGGAGGAGGAGTCGGCGCGGCCGATGAGAGACTCGACAGGAGGCAGTCCGCCTTGCGATTGAGTCGAGTTGTCTAAGAGAAGCCGTCGTCAGTAAAGATTGGATTGCAAGACTGCAAGAAGAGTGAGTGCTCACGCTTACTACCAACAGAGTAATAAGCACTGTCTCGATGTTCATCGGGCTTGTTAAGAACTCCAGCGAGGCCCGTAGGGAGCTTCTGCTGGGTGGTTTGGGGTGCAGCCATTGTTGGAGGTTGTAATCGGATTGAAGTCGCGATAAGCAAGTGCGCTGCGCAAAGCTTGACGGAGAACGGGAGGGGAGGTGTGAGAGCAATGCAATTGAGTTAGAAGAGTAAGGAGCAATTGGAAGCACGCTTTCGGAGCGAGAGAAGGTAGCAAGGCGCGCCTCCAAATGTGGTGTTCGGGCTGTGGAGGGGAAGGTCTGTGGAGAAGTGAAATTCGATTTTCTCTCCTGGCAGACGTTGAGGATGTGCAGACTAAATTGACCAGGGCGTCAAACTTTGCTCTGCAGACCAGCCAATAGCGTACCCCGAACCAGTCGTCGTCCTCGAAGTAAAAGCGAGCGTGAAGGCTGTGAAGCTTCGAAGTGTTTGCGGACTTTGCACAGTGAAGTGTGGCCCGGCGTCGTGAAGATATCCAGACGTGAAGCGTAGACCCCGAAGAGGAGAAGGGCGAGTTATGTATGAGGACTGGTCCGTCCCTCGAAGGACGGGAGGTATAAAAGCAGTCTAGTTCTCGTTACTGGGCTCCGCGGGTAGCCAAGCACATCGGTCCAAAGACCCTGGGGCCTGTCGAATGCCTGCAGCAGTGTGGAAGCAGCGGACGGGGACGGTGGAGGCACGGTGGAGACCAGGACCGGGTTCATGATCACAGTGCAGTTCGACAGGGGCGCGATCCGTGGCACAAGGATACCGTAGAATACTGGAATGTGCGTGGTAACGGGAGAAGGCTGGGAAGAAGCCATGGGTGGGGGGGGGGGGGGGGGGGAAAGCCAAGGGCTTCAGGGAACTACTAGACTACTAGTAACTGGTGGCAGATGGGCAGATGGGTGGACGCCGGCCTGGCTCCTTGTCGAGCCTGTGCTCTTGTGCGTGGCTGTGGTGTCACTGGTGGGTGCAGTCCGGAACACTCTAACCACATAAAACTTGGTGGGAACTCGGGGCCGCTGCGAGCCTGCGATCAGAAAGGTGCCCTGCCCCCGCGATATCTGAGAGAGAGAACCCCTGGGGCTTGAGTCTTGACAGGCTTTGTGTTGTTGCACTTCTTTCATGCAGGAGAGTCCATGCGTGGAGTTGTCCTGTCCCTCTTTGGGCCGGTGGGCTGTCTGTAAGCCGGGCCTGGAAACTCAACTCGTCAAAAAAGTGAGCCGGCTTCGAGGTCTTGCGCCAGTGCTGCTGCTGCTGCTCCTGCTGCCGGTGCCTCTGCGCGCATATGCAGGCGCCACGAGCAGCAGGTAATCAATCGATCTCGTCTTTCCTGTTGCGACACACCCCTTCTTCCACTTCCTCTTCCACATGGCCTGGTGCAGTTCGGAAGCTATTAGAGCGGCATCCGATCCTGCACTTTTCCCGTTCCCCCATCTGCCTCTGCCTCTGAACTGCCCTCTGCATATCACTGGATTTTGGTCCTACTTGAGTCGTTGTGTGCAACTACCGTACTTGACTCGAGTACCCGTCTCAAATACACTGCGCAGGGTTCATTCTCCTCATTGTCCTAATTGTGCATCCGGTGTTAGCTGGCTGTTTGCTCGTCGAGTCGCTCCCCGGCGCATGCAGGTCTCGCGAACCCACAGGAACCGCTTCATGCAGGCTGAAGTGTAAGACTGTGTGGCTCTGAGCGATGAGCATTGATGGCATGCTTTCGTCCCAAACCGTTGTTGATCTCAGCGTGCAGCCTTGGGGATACAGTCAGACCTCAATCTCAAGTTCTAATAAACAGAGAAACTCCGCCCGACAAGGTGTTTGGCGGATCAATGGGCCGGGCAGGGAATAAGGTGTAGAGCACGCACGGCAAGGGGCCGCTGATAGCAAGTGATAAGGGCGAAGCCCAGGGATGAGGGATGAGGGATCCCACCTGGCAATCAATCTGATTATGACATCGTGGCACAGCAGAGCTCTGGTTCGTTGATGCTGTACTGAACAGTATCGTTATGTCCAGTTTCCCGCAATGGCTGTGTCGATGCCGGTGAAGTGTGAGACGTGGCTTGCGAGTTAAGTTAAGCTTATCCCCAAAGTTAAGGTGAACAGCCCGGAAAATAAAAGAAACCTCAATCAAGGTGAGGAGTTAAACAACGGCTCCAACCAGCCACCGTTTGGCGGCTGAGAGACTGTACTGTACTGTACTGTACTGTACATGCAGGTGCAAAGCCAAGGCTGGGTTGAACGGGCTGAACGGGTTGAAGGGTTGAAGGGAAGGGTTGAAGCCTTGAAGCCTTGAAGCCTTGAAGGGTTCCCAATGCCCATATGGCAGCCAGCTTTCCCTCGAGTCGTACCTGACAGATGCTCCACCACCACCCGGCCGTCGCGCCATGCCCGATGCGGCCTCCAGAGTAAGGAGCACAGCTGCACAAGGCCTGGGCCAGCCAATCCGTGTTTGTTATCTTCATTCTGTATCCAGCCTGCAAATGCCTCTGTGGACCATCAATCATCATTGTCACCCTCATCGTGTTCATTATCATGATCATTACCATTATCATCCTCATCAAAAACATCAGCCAAAAGGCACCCCTTGGTCTCTTCCCTGTTCCCTCTCACTGGTTTGGGCGTCTGCACTGTTTCAGATGATGAATCCGCCGCTCTGCATCGTGACATTGTTAAGCTTACCTGGACGACTGCCCCCAGTGGTCGACGCCCACCCTGGTTGCCCGGCACAGGCGTGCTTGCTTGCTTGCGCATCTTCCGCGTGGCAGGCTGGACTTGGTTGGGGGCCGCATCTACAGTAAATTACAATAATCTTCAATCGGACAACACCTTCGCCCGGGAACATCGCCAGATTCGCAACGAACTCCCCCATCTGGAAGCCAGAAAGTCTCCCTACAGCTTCACCGCATCCGCGTACGATAACCTGGCCTGCCAAGACAGCAATCTTGGGCCCCCCGAATGGAGTCAATTGTCTGTTCACTCCTCTGGCAGGGTTTTTTTTTTGGTATTCAGGCTCAATCTTTCCATCGGTGGTATTTCCTGCTGCAAATCACCGAGATCTCGAGCCGACGTGCAGCGCTGCCGCCGATGAATGCAATGGCTGGCGCTTGATCCACGTTCAACCAGCAGTGTACTGTAGGCGCAACTGTCCGCTCGGAACTTGCCCCATTGCGAGATGCTGGGAGTCTGGAGCCAGCGAGAGCCACTCATCTCGAGGTCCAAAATGCCCGAGCGATCGCTGGCATCAGCAGCGTGCAGGCATGGATCTGTAAGGGGATGCCTATCTATCGAGAACGGTCTCCTCGTTGAAGAACAATCTCACCACTTCTGGACTGACGACGAGGGGCAGGGCCGCAGCCGCCACCATTCATACTCGCTCCTGATATTCTACAATTTACGCGACGAACTGCTAACTACTGGAAACTACGACGGCTCCACGGGCCAAGAACGTGGTAAATCTCGACGATCCACGATCCATATTACTGCCAACAACGTGCGCGGGTCAGGATGAGCGAGCATCTTCTCCAGGCTTTGCTTCTCCAAACGGGCGAGCACCCTGGCGTTATTCCGCCTCCAATGTGACAGCACTTCCGAGGCCATCCTGGATGGGAAGTGTCCATGTCGATCAATCATCACGGGCTTCAGTCCCTCGTTACACAGCACTCCTCGGCGAGCACCAGCACATGGCTCGCACGGGCCCCGATGCTCCCATTCCAGAAGGCCCATTTCTGCTGTACCTTCTTGCAATGTATCGGTGGCCTCAGGCCTTGAATCGGAACATCAAGCCTGCAGATGCAGTTACGGCATCCGTCCGCATCCGTACCACATGGCGTCCTGGCATGAATCTCATTCACGAACAAAGCACCACCCAATGCCAGGATCCTGGCTGGCATTGGCGAATACCCGAGAGGTATTACTTCTTAAGTTCCTCCCCTTGAAGGTGAACGCAGATGAGTCGGCAAATAGTCTCGTGGGACAGTTGAGATCTGCAGAATGCCCTCTCCCCGTTGGGTACCGAATAGCTGGGCCCATCAAGCACTCCTTGATCATGCCCCAAGCGAGGCTTCTACCGCCGTAACGTGAGTGGATGGGTAAAATCCTCGTGTGCAGGCAGTAAAGGGTTCTGCACTTCCAACAATGTACCATGCAGACCTCGAGGCAGACTGGCTCGAACGGTACGGAAGGTCGAGATACGTCAAGGCCAAGTCTCAATATCCTTGAATCTGCTGCAGTTAGAGTTTGCTCATTGGGAAGGTTCTCGCCAGCGAGGTCCGGGCCGGTACAGGCTTGAGGACAGAGCTTGCAATCCCAAAATACCTCAGACAAAGCCTATTCTTGTCTTGCCCTCCTCTCGCCCGCTCACTGCCCACGTTCCGCAGCAGCAGAGAGGCAATGACGAGTTAGATTTGCTGCCCGCCTGTTCTTCGGCATGGCTTCCCCCTGTGTGGAAGGTTGTGAACTTGTGGCGGCCGTAAGACGGCAGCGCGACAGCGCCCAGCTGAGCATCTATTGGCCTGCTGCGATCTGAACCTCTCCCGCTGCGGGGCCAACGCTAATCTTGGCAGCTTTGGTCGCAGATCGATCGGTGCGCTAAACTTCAAAACGACGACTCGACGTGCGAGCTCACATCCCCTTTTCCTTTTGTGCTGCCTTTGCTTCTTCGTTGTGCGAGACAAGGTGTCTTTGGCCAACGGGATTCTCGTGTTCCGAGCCTCTTGACATCTGAAAAGAAAGATGGGCCATGTGCACACAACGACTCGGCGACCTTGGATCAGTATTCCCTATCGAATTTGCCATGGCAAAGTATCGGACCCATTGAGCCTCAACCGCAGATCCGGTAATAGTATTCTAGCAAACACATTTTACGGTGTCGAGATATATCGTCGTTGCCGTCACCGGACAATTGCTGCTTCAGTCTCCCTACCCTCAAGGTAGTGTGGTTGTACGAGGCGAACATATGCGACATCGGTACTCGCTTCACACTTCAACATGAAGGCTGAATACATGATTCAGTCGTCGCACAACATTGAGCGTTGAAAGTCTAAAACACCACAGACTCACTTGACCCCATCAAATCGATCCGAGGAATCGGTCCGTCCTGTAATTGATGGGCATTCATCTGCCTCGTGTATCACAACCTCTGTCTCATTCCGAGTGGGCGCCGCCACGAGTCACCAGCCTTCTCTCAAACAATTGGCTACACCCCAACGGACATCGTACAAACTACATCACCCAAATAGTTTCCGTCTTGTGGTTTATACAGTGCGTACTTGCAAATTACTAGAGCATGAATATGCGTTAAGTAGCGGTCCGATTGCTGCCTCATCTTGAATCTGTTTGGTTTCCCTTTCTCCGCCGATGCCGGACGCTTTCATCCTGCATTCTCGAACACTTCTATAGCACAAACATGTTTCTTACCACTTCCTTCTGGTGCGTGTTACAACGCATCAACGTCCCCAGATACTACACTTCAGGCGGAGGCACAACAGACACGCATGCAGGGACCGGATGCCAATAATTAAGCTCTATTAAGCTCGTCTATACATGCGTCCTTTCGTGAGAAGTTCGGGGCGAGCTCCTCCCTCTCGCGTTTTTCATCTATTCGGCTGTATCAGGTTAACATCGACCCAAAACCCTCACGCGTAAGGTAAGTTTATATTGGGGGAGGGCTTTCAAGGATGTTCTCGGCTCGAGGGGATTTTCTATTCTGGCTCCCCGACTCCCCAAAACTTACGGATCCCGAAGCCGAGAGCTGAATACAGCCCGAGCGAAACTTCACCCAGGCCAAGTATATTTCTTTTTCGGCAGAAGGCATAGGCAGCCAATGGCTTTGAAGAAAGGCACCAGCCTTTCTCACAGAAAAGTACTGGATACAAACACCTGGCCCTCATCGGGCGTGAAACTCTCCGAAAGTTGGGGGGAAGAGAGAAGGTCTAGATTACGACACCTAACCCCGCTTCCGTGAAGCTGGACAAGAGGGTGTGTTGACTAGACGCCACCACAAAATCAAGCTTCAGCTTCATCCCACATACAAGTTTCAGGCCATGCAAGTCCCACAGGATACAGCAGGTTCGCAGGGGCGGAACAAAAGCCTTCCATAACACAAACACAGGCACACAACATACCGGCATTGTACCCGGCTCCCCATCTCATCTCATCTCATCTTCTCTAACACCACACTTCCGTCCCACCTTCCACCACTCCCGAGATCCCGCATCTTCCCTTCAGGTACTGTATCTCGTAACTCAAATTCGAGGGAGACAACCCTCCGTCCTCAGATGAACGGTGGAGAAATGGAAATTTGGAATGGGCCGGGTAGCTGCGTAGAAGGATCTTAGTGCCTCTAGGAAGGGGAAGAGTGCAGGATCTGAGATGATGCGCGTCTGTTGTGCTGGTAACGTTTCTCCCATTGCGTCTCGAGCCACCTTTCACTTGGGGTAATGGTGCCTGGAGATCTTATCTTGGTACAGTCCATGTGCTAATGATCAGATCGTTTTCAACGGCTTTCTCCCCAACCACAACTCAAGAGTGTGAGAGCTGGCTATCACCCAGGAACTCGAACAAGGACATTAACGTGCCTCTAGACTCCTTTTCACGTTGTCTAAGACTAAGATCCTGTGGCTGAAACACCTCGATCTACATCCACCTTCGCCGGTTCCTAGATCGTCCGCCTCTCCCTCCCACCCGACTCCCTCAACCGCTCTCCCAACTCTCCACATCCAACCATCCCCCTCCCACGCATCCGTACCTGAACCAAGTCCACCAGCACCCGGAACAGCTTCCGGCTGTTTCTGTGGCTGGGCTTCTTTTTCTTCACAACCCGGCACCCGTCTCGATCTACTGGGTCTGCGTCAGTCTGGGGAACATACACGGGGAAGGGCGACGGATACCCGCATGGCAAATCGCGAGTTCGTAACCCTGTTTTCACTTCACGTTCAGATCGCGCGGGCATCCTCCACCTTCCTTTTCCGCCTGCTAAACATCTTCCACTCCCGACAAACATTTTTCCTGCCTCCTCCTCCCGCCCCGCCACAGCTGCAAGCCAAAGAGCCAGGGCGAGTAAAATCCTCATCGACTGGCTACCAGCTCCCCGGGACTCGGGAATCGGGAGCTGCGGTTGGGGATTGGATAGCCTCTCGTGCGGGTGGAGGGCAAATGGGCGTCAGATGCTGTGGGTTAGCACATGGGTATCTGGATCGTGGGGATTTGGGGTTTGAGATCGTGGGATGCTGGTTCGCTGCTTCGTGTTTAGCTGGCCCCTTGCTTCGTGCACTGCGGTCCCGGGACTCGTGGTTTGGGAGAGGTGAGCGGGTTCCTTTTTTCGCTGTTGCTTGAGCGTTTGGATTGCTGAGCTGAGCTGAGCGGGTTTTCTTTTTTTGCGCGGTGGGTTTGGGGATTGTGTGGCTCTGGTGTGGGGAGTCGGGTGCTAGTTGGTTTAATCTGGGTCGAGTCTCGAGTTCTAGTGGTTGTGGGAGAGAAAGGTAGGTCCTTGCAGGTATTAGTTCTGTGTTAACGTAGTTGGTGTGGGGATTTGAACGAGGGGCCTAGTGATGCTGCTCAGTGGGCTTCCTTTTTTGTTGCAGGCTCTTCGTTGTTCTGAGAGTCACTTCCCCCTTTCATGAGTCGCAGGTCGTATTTTGCGGGTTGTTGGCGTGCTTTCATCGTGTCTGGGTAGAAGATAGGTCTGTGTGTTCGTCACTATGGGTTTTGGCCTTTGCCGCTTCTGCCGCCTGCCTAAAAGCTCCTCCACCTCGAGTTGTCTTTACTTCTTCAGCTTTTTGGCCTCCGAAGATCTGTTTCTACAGACCAACCGGGGATGCCGAAACTGTTAGATATGCTGTGCTTCTTGGGAAGGGTGTCACTCCTACAAATTCGCAAAATGGGCTCAGATGAGAATCCCTTCGGGCAGCTTTGCATCTACCTTCCCGTTTATGTACTGTATGATTTCTGTTCAATATCTGCAAGCTCTCGAGTCCGCCTTTCTAGACAAAGCCCAGCCCCTGATTCCAGCTCTTTGTAAACTTCTTCCACCCCACATCTTCCAACTTTACACATGCTGCCACCCATTATCAAACATAACCTGCATCTCATTAACCAAACACTCGATCCCATCCTCATTTCTCTCCTCAGACTGTAACCCCTTCAAACTCCCCACCCCAATCTTGCCCCTCCCTGCCCTCCTCTTCCCCTCCAATTTCCACCTATCTACCCGCCCCTTCACCACCCTCCCCTCACTATACGCCTTCAACCAGCCCGTCCACCTCACAACCCTATTTCCCCACACACCTCTCCACCTCTCCCCCTTTGCCGGCCACGGCCTCCCATCTCCACCCGGCACCCCATCCACCTGATCCCCGACATCCGCTTTAACCTCCGCCCCATAATTAACAGCTGCGTACGTGGTACTGTTATACGCAACCCTCACACTCGGATTCACCCACACGCCCTTCTCCGCGCTCAACGGGTTATCAGCATGGATCAAACAGCACTCGCTCCCCTCCAAATGTGCCTTTGCCAGCGAATCCGGGATCCCGCGGAATTTCAGGGGTTGGTTGTCTTGCTTGGGGTTCTTGTGTGCTTGCTCTACTTTTCGGAAGGAGGAGGGTGGTGGTGGGTAGAAGGGGTAGGCGGAGAAGGCGATCATGCCGTTCCAGCAGGATTTCACCGGGATGGGGGATAGGTGGTTTAATAGGGTGATGGAGGGCGAGTGCGAGAAGTAGGGGTAGGTTAGCGTGGCGGTTTTCTGGCCGGTTATGTCACGGAGGGCGAAGGTGTCGTAGCTGGGGGTGTTAGTGGGGTTTAATTTTGGGAGGAGGGGGGAAAGAGGCGAGACGTACTATTTTTCGGGGTTGGAGGAGAAGTCCAGGGCGCAGGCTGCTGCGTAGTCGCCGTCACGGGTTGAGAGGAGAGTTAAGACATCTTCTGTCTATCATTTGCCATCAGCTACGAGCTCAAAATAAGGAAGAAATGAAAGAAGAGGATGTGTGTCACGTGATAAGGGGAACGTGACTCACCGTAAACACAACATCATTAATCCAAAGCACGCGATCAAACCGCTCATAACTCGTCTCGTCAATTTCCAACAACGGCGCCATAACCTTATTCCTCAGATCCGCCAAATACGGAATCCGCCTCAACTCCCACCCCTTCTCGCCCCTCGCCGTGAAAATCCAGCCCTCCCGCTTCTCCTCCGGGACATTCTTCAACCTCTCCGCATGCTCTTCCGCATCAATGCCCAACACAATCCTATTCTCCACCCCAAGCGTATTCAACTTCAGTTCCAGTTCTCGCAAGGCGCCTTTCGTGTCTTCCTGCGATCCGGATTCCAAGATGGAGACGTAGACGTTTTCGGGACCGAGGGTGTCTATCAGGCGCAGGAGGGCACTGTTCCAGTAGAGACGCAGCATGTATTCGGAGTTTCGGGCCATAGAAGCGATGAAGATCCTTTCATTGCGGAGGGAGGGGGAGAGTATTTTGGTGCGCTGGGGAAGGGGGGAGGGCCGCGTGATAAGGAGCGTGTCGATCACGAAGATGAGGAACAGTGTTATGAGGAGGGGTTTGGGCCGGAGGAAGGTCCGCCTGAAGGAGCGGGGGAATATCCGTCTGAGCATGGTGGTGGAGGTGAAGTGTGGAGAGTCAGGGGGAGAGGTTGGGCCATGTCATGTGAGGCTGACCCCTGAATCTGAGCTGGAGATGAGGCTGAGAATGGTGATGTCGTCTTGGGTGTCCCAGGCTGAAGCTATCGAGCTCTGCAATGGTGGGAAAGGTAAATGAGTGTAATGAAAGGAGTGAGATGAAGCCCGGCTGATGATCTCCCTGTTGTAAGTTGATGCTCCGGAAGGATTCTGGACGTCGACGTTGGGAGGTTTTGAGGCTGTGCAAAATGATTGGCCAAGAAATTGCAGGGGTGGGCTGGCCGACGTCAGGTGATAGAGCCTCGGCCATCGTCAACTTCCTCTCGAAGCTTCCCTCTCCTGCTCTCAAAAAATATTTGGATGAAGAAACAGAATTCCCCAAGGCACAATTGGTTCTAATTCATGCCGGTTTGTGATCTGGAGAGGTCTCGAATTATGAATATCTCGCGGGCGACAGGGTTCCCTTCCCAAGCGTCCTCGATGAGCTGCTCCGAATCACGCAGATGATCTCAAACATTGCATCTCATAGGCTACCATTCCGAAGATTGAACTTTCAGTCCCCCTTCTACTCATCAATCTAATACATTCTTCACGGCATGGAATTATGGATCGAATGTTGTGGGACAAAGCTGGGATGAGGACCATCCCAAACATTCCATCCAGACCACCAGCTGCCGTTGCACTCCTGAATAAAAAGAACGTACACGAACTATATTCTCAAAGAATGTTTTAAAGTCGCTGATTCCCTCACTTACCGAGCTCTCAGTCACCAAACCAAACCAGGTCACCATCAACATTCCATCCCCCTCTGACGGCGCCCAAAAACCAAAGCTCGATACTCTCCCTTGAGAGATTTTATACCCAATCCAACAAATACGAGACCTCATCTTTCCACGGTCCGCTGATCCGGATCTTCAGAGAGTGGGAGATGCAGAATTTATCCGATGGTTTGAGATCCACGGTACCTATCAGGAGGATCCTTGCCACCAATCATGGGTCATGGGAGCGTTATTACAAGCTAACTCGCAGCGCTTGTTCCTGCCCTGTAGAGGTCCCCCGAAAATTGATGCTACTCATATCGAGATACATCCGTATGGAAAACGTGAGGTACAAGGGATGCCTCTATGCATGAGAATGGATATGTGTGGTCTAAAGTGAATACTCATACGTGATGCAAGAGAAATTGCTCTCCTGATTTGTCATTCTCTCATAGCTCCTTTCCTGGAATTACCCCAAATGCCCCTGAAATGCCCCCGTGAACAAATTGCTGACTCTTTCCTCCACAGCTCTGTTCAAAATATTCGCCAAGATGTGCAAGAACCTGAAGTCGGTGGCCATTATGCACGGGGACCGCTCAAGTCTCTAGCTAGCCGCCGTTCTCAGGCTCCCCCTTCCTTCCTCCGACACCTTGACATGGCTAGTATACAACCCCAACAGAGAAACGAGAAAACTGGAAGAGACAACAAAGGGAAGTATGACGAGGAGATGGCAGTATGTGGTGGAGGGAAGAGTAGGCGAAGAGAAGAGTTTGAAATTGCAAGTGCTGGGAAGCATTCGGTAATTAGAATAGAACAAACTCTTGGATATCAATCCCCATCTTCTTCAAGTTCTCCGAAGTTAGTCTCGGATCAGACCAAGTCCACTCTTTGGTCTCCGAACGATAGAACCACTGAGTTTTGAGCTCACCATCTTCAATCTCTATATCAGGCCCGTCCAAATCCCCGTAATGAACACTACATCCAGTCGGAAGGGGTCCCGCTCTTGGATCAAGCTGTGTGGGCACGCCGTTGCCGTCGATAAACACTGGGAATAGTTTTCCCGCCACATCTCTCCAGCCAAATCGACTCCCCGGGCTAAGAGGACCCAGGAGGGCTTCTCCGTTCATCATGCCATGCACGAAGCATTCTCCACCCACTTGATAGCGATTTTCCTCAGTATTTGTATATCCAGAACCGCGCCCGCCAAGAGAGCGGCGGTGACGGAACCCGAGAATATCGTGGCAATAAGAGCGTCAATCGAGGGCACTCCTCCAGTTTGTGAGGTTGCATATCTGCAAGCCAGTTCCCAGGTTTGGCATTTGGTGAGTATCTCTGGGGACTTGGCGTCGTAGGGAATGGCTTCAAAAACTTGGTCGATCACACATATCTGCAGTCCTTGGATGGTGAGGCTGTTGTCGGAGGGGTCGTACCGACTTTCCTCTCTTGATCTTCCAGTGGCCTCAGCAGCATAGAGGGCATTTCCGAGCTGATAAGGGACGGAAAAGTCGAACACCCACGAAGGAAGCGGCAGAACTGAGGCCGGGTCAATGAATCTGCAGAGGGTCAAAATATCCACTCGTCGATTTGTATTGATTTCTTGGAGAACGGTATTTTTAAATACCTCTTCAGGCGCTTTGGAGTAGTTTGGAACAATACCAGCTGAGACGCCCTCAGGTAAAAGGCTCAAGATGGCATATATTCTATCTCGAGGGTCAAGACAATGGGCTTTCTTCGTAAGAAGGGTAACATTAGGCAGATTGGATAGAGTACTACATTGGTTCATTGCCGAAACTTGTTCGAGAGCTTCAAAATTGAGAGTTTCGCGGAGGGTTGTGAAAGCGCGGTACATAGTATGAATCCAAAAAAGAGCAGCTTGAAAAATTGGCAAGGGGAGGACTGTATTGCCGGTCATAACGATAGCTTCAGCAGCAAGTGCCATTTCTTGAATGACCCAAAGTCTCGTGAACCCTGACGATCATGTCAGTACTGTAATATGAAGGCATGCTTGGACAGACTTAGAATGCCTTGGATTGTGTGAAGAATATTCGAGGAAGTGCAAAAAGTCTTAATGGGGGTGATAGGAGACCTATATTGCTCACATGGCCGCTCCAAGAGCCTCCCAATAGCCACAAAGCTTGTTGCCATTTGTGCCCTGTCTTCAGCATTATTTTCCAGCTTTTCGGCCAAACTGCCTCGCTTGATAGAGATGTTTTTCCAACTCGCTCCCACATTGTGAACATCGAGTCCTTCTCCCACATCCCTCAGTGTCTGAACCGCCAATGTACTTTCATGGGCTTCTTCCCCGAGCCAAAGAATTACCAGTCGTGCACTGCCATAGATGGACGCCATCTTGTTGACCTGCTCACTTCTCTCCACTATGTCATCTTGATTGATGCAGATAGCGTCAATCCACAAGAGTCTTGGTTTCTTCGCAAAACTTAGATGCTGCAGTGCCATGAAGAGATTCCGAGAAATTGCCAGATGACTCAGTTCGAACTTCGAACGGCCGGAAAGAAATCGCCCTCTCCTCGAGCGTCGGGGGAAACACTTCTTTGAAGACGTCTTGACAGTCACTTCATGTGTCCGCTCTGGGGAGCCCCATACATAGGACAGCGCCTCGTAGGCCGGAGGTGCCGAAGAAGGGACACGGATGATCTCGATTTCGATGTCACCTGATGAGGATGGAGGCATCAGTTTGAGCAGTCTGATCTCATCCGGATTCTTAGAGAGTGGTTCGTAGGCGTAGGGACTCCTTTTGTTGGACATTTCGAGACAAGGCTGCGTAGTTTAGCGGCAGGGGAATGCAAATTAACCAGTGGAAGTCGATATTGGTGCTTTCGTGGTCTGCGTGACGGACTGTTGCCGACGGGAGACTTAGGAGGTGTAAAGGTAGATGCTAAATTTGGACGAATATCACAGGAAGGATGTAGGTCCCCCTCGTATGGAGGAGCATTTTGAGCTTCCATTCAGCCTGCCCAGCCGTGCCACTTGGAACCACACCACACGTGACACGATTACGTCTGTCGAGCTCGATGTCTCTTTTCGTGATATCCTCCTTCGTCGGCCCAAGACTGTTGTTCTGCTTGGACTGGGAAGCCATATTCGGTGTAGATAGCGATGAGAGGCATTGACTGCAAAGGAAAGTGTGTTGACCCCTTAGCTTGTAGATTCCGCTGGGTCATAGTTCTAGCTGCTTTAACTCTCTAACTACGGTACATTAAACTCCCCGAGTCCACAATTTCGGTATTCGGCGATACTGATCGCCGATTCTTCAATTCTTCCCAGTTCCTTGACTCCCATCAACATCGAAAAGGGGCCCCCTATTCCAAGTACCGACGTCGACATTGAGTGCTGACATATTCAGTCTGTGGGCCGGTGGGCCTCGGCACGCGGAAAAGTGATCCCGAGCTTTCTGCGACGCCAGCAAAACTTCTCTTCAAGCGCGCTTCACCAGCGTCACCTTTCCTTGCCATGTCCAGTACTGATTAATAATACACGACAAAATCCCGACAAGTCCACCCCCATATTTCCAGTCCTGGCCAAGGGGGAATTGCGACACTTGTGGCTGAACCTCGTCACCTCCCCCTTGATTTGGCCAATTAGCCTTTTACTCAGCTGCCGTCTGGCACCATGCTGATCAATCATGCCAGGAAGCTGCAGCCATGCAGGGACAACAGGTGGGGGCATGGAAAGGTACAAAGGATGAGGTGACCCCTCCATGGTAGGATACTGCTTCCTTCATACCCGTTGTCTCTCACCAGTCTTCCACTTGACCTCCAGCAATCTTCCCTTCAAACCTGCTGCAAAAGGACCCGAAGCCTCCAGCTTGGCCTCAAATCCACAGAGTATTCCAGCATGTCGTCAAACCTCTTCAAGCCCCTCAAGCTGGGCAATGTACAGCTGCAGAACCGAGTTGTCATGGCACCCCTCACTCGATTCCGTGCCGACAACGAGCATGTCCCTCTGCCCTTTGTGGCCGAATAGTATGTTTCTTCTCCGTTCCAAAATTCGTTCGATTGGAACATTGACTAACACTCCCCAGCTACGCACAGCGCGCCTCCTCTCCCGGGACCCTCCTCATCACCGAAGCAACCTTCATCGCCCCTCAGGCAGGCGGTTTCGGAAATGTTCCCGGAATCTGGAACGAAGCACAAATAGCATCCTGGAAGCGAGTGACGGAAGCGGTACACGCCAAGGGCTCCTTCATATACCTCCAGCTGTGGGCGTTAGGAAGGGCAGCTAGTCCGGCAGTACTAAAAAAAGAACTCGGTCAGGAAGCCAAGGTTATCAGCTCAGGCGATTTGGAATTCGAGGGAGGTGCGAAGCCGACGCCCTTGACAGAGGCAGAGATCAAGGAATATATTGGCTTCTATGCTCAAGCGGCTAAGAACGCGGTGGCGGCTGGCTTCGATGGCGTGGAGATCCACGGCGCGAATGGGTATCTGATTGATCAATTCCTCCAGGATGTCTCGAACAACAGGACCGATTCATGGGGCGGGAGCATAGAGAACAGAGCGAGGTTCGGAATCGAGGTCGCAAAGGCTGTCGTCGCAGCTGTTGGTGCGGAAAGAACGGGCATCAGATTGAGTCCCTTCTCCGAGTTTCAAGGCATGAGGATGGCAGATCCTAGACCGCAGTTCAGCTACTTCGCGCAGGAACTCAAGAAGTTGAAGCTGGCATATATCCACGTCGTCGAGTCTCGCATCGCTGGAAACGCAGATGTCGAGCAGACGGATAAGGTCAACTTCCTCGTTGACGTGTGGGATAATCAGAGCCCAGTCCTAATTGCTGGTGGCTTCAGACCGTCATCGGCGAGGACTCTGGTCGATGAGGAGTATAAGAACAAGGACGTTGCGGTTGTGTTCGGACGGTACTTCATCTCGAATCCGGATCTGGTATTCAGACTCAAGGAGGGAATCGAGTTCACGCCTTACGACAGAGAAAAGTTTTATAATAAGAAGCAGGAGGATGGATATACGACTTGGAAGTTCAGCAAGGAGTTTGAGGCTCAGGCTGCAAAGTTGTAGAGAGATGGTTCCGTTAGCGACCGGACAATGGCCAGGAGCAACTGTAGATGTCGAGCAAAGAAAGAAGAGAGTGGATAGAAACCAGTCCTGAGTTTCCTGGAGAGAAGCGGGACTATCAGGAAGCGTCGGGCTTGAATAGTCCCGGCCTCGATGGACCTGCTGATACTCAACGTTTTAACTGATGTAGATAGAAGATAGACTAGATAATTTACAATATCATAGAAATTCGCCTTTCAAGTTGCAAGTAGCAATGCCTTTCTTCCATTTGTCTTCTTTTGCCATTTGCTATTCGAAATTTTCAGCGAGTTCGGCTCTGAATTGCTGTGTTGTTGCTCTCCGTAGCTGCTTGATTGGTCACCGTCTCCGTATCGTTTTTTATTGAGGACATGCCATGGATTGAAGCCGAGCAAGCATAATGCAAATTGTTATTTGCAACTGAATCACAGCTATCTGATGCAGTGATGTCTCCTTCTCTGGGCTTACTCTACTGTAAGCGAGACGCGTTGCTAAAAAAAAAGGGGGGGGGGGGGATTTCTGTCGAAAAAGACTGCAAAACCGACGCCTCTATCCAGATGCATCGGGACCGGGGGACTAGACGAAATGAGTTTGTTATGCAGTAGATTTCGGCCATTCCGGGCTATCGAAGCAACTTTGGAAGCTATGCTCTAAACTTACAACACTGCTACGATGTTAATTGACCACCTCTTGTTTGGCGAGCACACGTGATTCCGCCTGGCCAGCGGTGGCAGCCGCGATTCCCAGAGATAAAGGTGCGTATCTCTTAGTGTTACACGCCCAAAGGCAGAAGGACGACATTGCCCGTGTGGAGGATCGTGCTGACTAGGATTTCCATTCGCTACCAAACTGTAGGCCACCAGTATCTTGTAGTTAGCCGATCAACTGAGATATCAGCATCCGAACGAAGGTTTACGAAATGCGAGACAATCCAAACACCGCTCAATTGTGAATTCATTATTTTGACTGACGTGTAAACATACAACAGTGCAGTGCAACGCCGTGTCATCAAAACAGCCAACACTCATTGTCTCCCTACCGGCATCGTGCCATCTCTGGGTTATCCATACCTGACTGTGTGTCGTTTTTGACAATAGCTAGAGTCAAGGTGTTCATTTAGCTGCCAATTAGGCATAAGTCAAAATCGCGATGCAGATCTCAGTACGAAGCAGATCCAAAACTGACGTGGTGGGCCGAGCAACAAACAGCAGCACGGAATCACGATACCGACACACTGGATATCTTTATTTACGAGTACATTTCTAGTAGACACATCGCTCGCTGTACTTTTGTCCGTCCAGCTAACAACATATGATACAAAAGTCGTCCCATCCCATGCTCCTTTTAGTCAACCCTCAAAATTTTTGGTCCTCTCTTCTTCGTGGTCTTCTTCTTCTTGTTCCCTCTGTCGAACGACGCAGCAGAAGCGTGGTCTCGGCCGACGTTGTCGAGATCCTTGACCTTGTAGATTCGGATGATCCAGTTCTCGCTGGTGAAAGCCTCCTCAACTGTATTGAGCGTTGGACCGACATCTGGCAACTTAACGCCTCGGACTCGATCTTGCGCTTGCCCGGCTGGGAAGAGCGTGTTGTAGTTGTAGTATGACATCTTGTACCTATATGCTGCGTTAGCCATTGCGCCTCACAATGAAACAAGGGTTCGTACATCAAGCTGTTCTTCATCGTCTCGGTGGCACCCTCGTCCACTCTGTATTCTCCTCTGTCAGTGAAGAAGTCACGCTCCTTCACCTCATCAGGCCAGATACCCTCGGCAATTCTCACCATCCACAAGAACTTGTTGATATCGTCACCTGAATAACCCAAAAGTCCACCGAAGACGACCAGGACGTAGTCGACTTCATGCTGGCGCATGATTGGATAGCTGACCTCCTCACGGGAGCTCATAGCCTTTCCAACGGTAGCAATGTGAGTATTGTTCCATGTGTTGTTGTCCACAAGGGTCGGTCTGTCGGCCATGCCACCAATTTGGTACCCATAATCCCACCATGACATGATTTTCGCATCTTCGGGTGTATTCTGGCGAAGCCATTGATATGCTTCACGGTAGTCATCAATGATATGTTGACTTCCATCTGGCATTCTGCTTGCCAATACAACGGATGGAGACGAGTAGGCATTTGACGTGACCCAAGTGCAGTGAAGCACGAAAATCAGGAGATAGGCAGTCATGGCGCTGACAACCGAAGTCTTGGAGAAAGTCGTGTAAATACCGACAAGTGGCTCGCGCATGGAGCGCAGCCCGTCCTGTTTACCCGTTTTCTTGCTCGATGAGCCATTGGCTGCCTCTGAAACCTGAGCATCTGTTGGTTCGGCTGGGGACTTGATAGTTAAGTAGGTATCGAGGACATACGACAATGCCATGGCCGCAGACACGCAGACGATAGGCGTAAGCGTAAGCATAAGACGGACCATAACGCCAGAGAAGTAACTGGCAAGAATGGAGTAGACGACAATGAAGACTTGCTCATCGTTAAGCTTCAAGAAGCAGAGATATACTCCGGCAGGGAAGAGCCAGATTAGCATGTTCAAGTCAAAGAAGTAAGCAGGCCAGGCCGTTGGCTGATGCTCGGAGACGGAGGCAATAATAGGAATGTGGATCTTGGCATAGCCGGTATCCCAAAGCGAGTAAAATCGCCCAGTCCATGGAGCGATCACACCAGTTATGGTCAACAAAACCAGACCAGCCAACGCCACGAAGAATACGGAGACGGCAAATCCTGTGACCAGAGTCTTGAATTGCCTGCTTGGTACACCTGCACGGATGAAGTCGACGAAGCCTACAAGTTGGAGAAGCCCAAAAATGCCTGAAATGAGTTAGCGCTGAAGTAGAATTTGGGCCTTAGCAAGCTTACCAAGGGCAGACATGTGTTCACTGCTTCGAATTGGCAGAAATCCAACGAATGGAATTTGCATGCTTGCCAGCGTCCCAATTGCGAACCAAGTGCAGTAGGCAACGTACACTCTGGGGCTGAAACGTCCCATGCATACTAGCACAAAGACGTGGAGGGGGATCAAGTTGGTGATAAAGACATATCCACCCCAAGCAGACACCATGTATCCGTAGAAAAGGGCACACAATGCACCCCAGAAAGCCGACCCAACCTTAAGAGCTTTGATCCAGAGGAAGAAGGTGAAGACAAGGAGGAAAATGGCAATAGCCTCGTTATCGTAGCTGCCAGCAACTGATCGAGATATATAACCTGGGGCAATTCCCATGAAGGCAGCGGCTAGTAGACCAGCAGAAGGAGATGTGGTCATCTCATTGGTGAAGAGATAGGTTGCATATGCGGTCAGTCCAGAAAATCCCGGGGCAAGCAGCACACAAATATTTCTAATATCGACCGGAATCGTGAGAGCTCGGAGGGCATGGTAGATAACGCCACTGGTCACCATGAGACCAGGATAAAGGGTTCCTCCTGTAACTCGACCAAGTGGATGCCATGTTCGGTCATCGAACCAATCCCAGAAATCATAGAAACCATGTTGAACGAGATATTTTGTTGCTCTGAAGTTGAACCAAGGATCGACTGCATCTTAATTAGCTGAAGTCGTTCGAGTGTGTGGCATTTGTGCATAGAAGTAGGAAGTTTGGTTCGAGGGAATGGAACTGACATTCGTGAATGATACTTTCGAAACCTAGGAAGCGCGCAAGTCAGCAGAAATTCAATAAACAATTCTTTATCCGCAATTCCATTTCAGAGTTTGACAGTTCCAATTCCTGGCAAGCCGGAGTCCAGAATTTGGTATGGAGCACTGGCACACTTACGAATGACGGAAAATAGTCGACTGGCAATCGCAGCAGCTGCAATTAAGCAGAGAATCGTCAAACGAAGCACTCCCCTCGTATTCCTCCCCGTGCTGCCCTTGAAGAAGGGTTCATCGTTTATGTCCGACATTGTTGGTGGATGAACAGAAAAGTTGTCGGTGTCTACAAAGTCGCATATCTGTTCGTAGCTGAAGCTTGACGCGGCTGCAGGGTTAAGCGGTTTTAGGGCGGCTGATCACGTGAAGCACTTCGAGGCTGAAGGTGAAGGGGGTTTTGTTCAGTGCATCGGTAATCTTGAGTTGGCTTCCATGTATTCTAGTTTTCCAATTGAATTACAGTCGTGCATATCTCCTGAGAAGAGAGATGTAAGTCTTCGAAGCGTGAGAAAATCTTCTATCACAGTCCAAAACCATCTGACATACAGCAGAGAGGATAAAGCACATTGCAATCTCGCCAGACTTTGAACCTTGCCGTTGGATACCCTTCAACCTTTCTTCCAATTATGATACAATGTACAAGAAGTATGCTAAGTGACGTCTAAGGCTTTTGTATGATCGCAATGACATCTCTTCATGCCGTACCAGCAACCACAAGTCACTCCACCAGCCCAACCCTTCTGTCTCAGCCCACCATTACTTCACGGCCCTTCCTGCTCTATCCTTCCGTGTCCTATAGGTTCTCGGCGTCCACAACGTTCAGGTACGCCTCCAAATCAAACCTACTGTCGTTGGGATCTCTTATAACTATTCGAAGTCCGTTAGCACTGCTCTGCAAACAATCCAACACAGAAGAGACTATATTCTCCAAAGCATATCCAAGTCAAGGTATGCTGCAGTCCCAAAGCTCGGCTTGGGAAGATAACGAATGCAGGGACAAACATACTTCCTCCGCTTTCCGTCTTTGCACTCGCTGGCAATTTCGATTTCGAGTATTCCGCCTTCGCCTTCTCGATCAATTGTTGCTTGTGCTCGTATTCTCTATTGATCGCAGCTAGTTTTGCAGCTGATGTGAGCTTTGCTTGGTGGTACATTCCGTAGAAGATACCAGCGCCAAGTGCTGAGTATCGGAGGACCTGCGAAAAAATCAGATTAGCTCAGAGTTCGCTGGAAGCACCCGAAAAGAAATAGAAAGTTTTGCAGCGATTGAGAGTAGCCGCCTCCAGCGCAAGGACAGAAAAACGTACGTTAACCCCCGTAGAAGCCATCGGAAAGCTGTCTTCGTGTCCTAGCGAACGTGCGGATTAGGACACAGGAGTCGGATCAACCGCAACTTGTTGAGGCGTGTCAATTGACAGGTTATCGCAAGCGTAGGAGTCGCCGGACGTTGTTGTGGACAATGCGAAGCTTTTCTTTTGAGGTGGTCGGAGAAGTTCTCAAGCTGCCCGGGATTTTGCGACATCCGGCCACGTTGCACGTGATCTGAAATTCGCGGTTCCTCCAACGACGCGACGATGCAGGAGAGGAGAGACGTCAAGCAACATCCTCGAATTCCATACTGCACATTCAGAGACGCGATTTTCAGGTTACAAGACCACCAAGTCTTGCCCATCGAAAGCAGATCGCTCCCAAAATCGTTCGGTGAGACTGGCCAAAGCCGACAGTTCCTTCTCTACCGATATGCGCATGCTTCGCAGGCACAATGCAATCACGTAGAGATGAGATTTTGGCGAAGAAGGCGAAGCTCGCGGAGATGAAACGGCAGAGGGAGCTTCGGAGTACATCTTCAACGCGGCAAAGCATAGGAGGTACTAGTGATGTAAGTGTCCTACGTCTTGCTTGAACATTCGGGTACTGACAGTCTCTAGCTTGCTGCCCCAACACCGAGCCGAGGAGAAAGTCGTGCAGAGTTCGACAAGTATCTTGAATCAATATTGGATGGAGGGGGAAAAAGTAGGCCTACTTCGACAGGACCTGCAGGAGCAGGATCCCCAGCTGGCAAAGGCAGTCGTCCCAACAGTGTGCTAAGTGCTGGAGAGCTCAGTAACGAGAATTCGGAACCATCAATTGGCCAGCCACCGCCTCAAACATATTCAATCTCGACGCAAACTCTATCCACTGCCCCTCTGGCAACCGTCTACGAATGCCCTCCTTCGCCGGTCAAGGAGGTCTTCTCCTATAGTAAAGGTGTGCAAACCACAGAAGAATGGGGGACACAGACAACAAGACCAAAGGCGTTTGAAGACTCAGATGAAGATGAAGGGGAGTCTCCAGCAACTGCAACACCGAACAAGCGGTTGAGTAGGAGAGACAGGGACCGGGAAGAACAGCTGCGAGAAAACATTAGGAGGGAAATTGAAGAGGAGTTGAAAGCAACTCGAGATCTCCTCACTGATGGCCCCTTGAGGCCAATCTCCCACACGGCTGCAAATTTCCCGGCAAGAGTCCTTACGACCGAGGAACTCAACGCTGTCACTTCTTCTGAGGATTTTATGGACTTTGTCGAGCGATCAAGCAAAGTCATCGAACGAGCTCTAGATGAAGAATACGACATCTTAGCAGACTACGCTCTCAGCGGGGAGAATGGCGTCGAAGATGACGATGATGAGTACGGAAATACCAGAGGCAAGGGAAGACGGAGAGTCAAAGAAATAGCCCAGTTCTATGATGAGAGGTGGTCAAAGAAGAGAATGATCAGCGACATCAGCTTTTCTCCCAAATTTCCTGAGTTGGTCCTCGCAGCATACACCAAGAATCCCTCGGCCCCTCACGACCCAGATGGACTCGTTCAAGTCTGGAACATGCATCTCCACGACAGACCAGAGTTCGTATTCCATGCACAATCCGATGTCCTAGCCGCCAAATTCTCCCCTTTTCACCCCAACTTGATTATTGGAGGCTGTTACAGCGGTCAGGTCCTCCTCTGGGACACCCGAGCGAAGTCCTCCCCAGTCCAAAAGACACCACTCACTGGCTCTGGGCACACTCACCCCGTCTACTCGGTCGACATCGTCGGCACACAAAATGCCAACAACATCATTTCTTGCTCCACAGACGGCGTCGTCTGCGGCTGGACAGTCGACATGCTGGCTCAACCGCAAGAACTTCTAACACTCACCACCCCAGCCCCCGCCAAAATCGAAGATCTCTCCCCAACCTGCATGGCCTTCCCCCAAACCGACCCAACCTACTTCCTCATCGGCTCTGAAGAGGGCACCATCTTCCCATGCCACCGCTACGATCGCGCCGGAGCAAAAGCAGGCGTCGATCAACGTGTCAGCTACCGTGGACACGCTGCTCCAGTGATGTCCATTGATTTCCACCCGGCTCGTGGCCCCGTCGACCTCGGAGATCTTGTCCTCTCTTCCTCGCTCGACTGGTCCGTCAAGCTGTGGAAAGTTCGTGCTCCAGCAGCTACCTCGACAACAGGGATTACCGGTGAAGGTCACTCCGTCACTCCCATCTTGGACTTCACGCGAGAAGACGTGGTTTACGATGCCGCCTGGTCGCCCGTCAAGCCCGGTGTTTTCTCGCTCGTCGACGGAGCAGGGAATCTCGAGGTCTGGGACATCACAATCGACACGGAAGTCCCACTCGCAAAAGTGGCCCCTAGCGGCCGAAAAGGGGGCAGGAGCATGATGAGCAAGAGCTTGAATAAAGTAGCATGGGAAGAGAGCGAAGGCAAACGACTAGCAACAGGAGGAATTGATGGCGGTTTGACTGTCTTCGAAGTCGGGCCAGACTTGGGCGGCAAAGAGAGCGCACGCAACGAAGAATGGACAAGCGTGAAGAAGTTGGTTGCCAGATTGGAGTCCGCTTCTGCTGTGGTGCAGCCGCTGGGCTTGAATGGCACACACCGGGCTGCGTTATAGGGCGCTGCCGAGGTACGGCGTGTGTTGATTTAATGCATATATACCCACCCTAGTGCTCATTCTTCACTGGCAAATTGAACATTATGATTGTGTTACTTCATTCATTCGTTCGTTCGTTCTCAACTTGCTTTGCTTGCTACCCTCAATGCCCGAATCCCATACTGCGCAATACAGAAATCCGATTGTACCAACACTTGAGCTGCTTCCAGGTACAACGCAGCTAGCTCATAGTTCCAGGCGGTTGAAACCCATGGGGGTGAAGTTCGCATTTTCCTCCCGTGCATTGGACGACTTTGCATCATTTCGACTCATAGGCCTTGACTTGGAGACATGCCCGTGGATGACTCTCTTTTGCGGACGCGAGCGTTGATCGTGTCTCGAAGGTCGTGGGACATTCGGGACATTCAAATGTGCATCCGGCTCCTAAAAGGACTGCAAGTGAATGTCCCAGATTGAAGTCATAAACCGAATAAGAAAGAACTTGAATGGTCCAGATTGGAATCGTGCATCGAATAGAGGATGAACGGAGTATGCCTACAATACCAAACTCATTCTCCAGCTTTGGCATTTGCTTCCCCAATAGTCGGACCTTTCTTGCGTCGTTACGCTGGAGAGCGTCGCGAAGGGAGGCAGACTTTCTCTGGTACGATCTTTGAGCACGCTCGAGTCTCGTCGTAACATTCACACCTTAGATCTGTTTCACTTTAGCACCGGCTTGAAACTTTATATTTGGGACCAATGGGATCTGCATCGTGGACAAGGTACAGTACTTAACTTGCTGGGTGCATATGGTTTCGATGCCAGCGGCGTCAAGACCAGGATTGGTTGCGGCGCTAGGCAAAAGCGGAGTTAGCAACTAGTCTTTGCTCCATACAGGTTTAAAATGTTCCGGCAGGATTAGTGACGTTGAATTCTCTTCTCAGCACCTACATATGATTGACTGCAAACTTCGACCTGTGAAGCTTAACTGCATACTCCAAGGCACGGCGACATTGAGCACGGGTGAAGGTGAATTTCTGTTTGCCTTGTCGAACCCGGTAAGGAAGACCTTGGTCGTTGTCAATTACTGGCGGATCGGATGGTATTGACGTTTGTCGGCGGTCATCCTGAAGTTGAAGTTAAACGTCGAGCGTGTCGTTATGCTCCTCCGCACTCCACGAGATCAACCTCGGACTCACCTTTGGCGCCATCATCGGCGCCAGTAAAGTCGATGTATTCGGGTGAAGGGCGAGCCATGGCATTGCCAATGTCAGACTGTTGCCGGCGCAGTGGCGGTCCAGCAAGAGAAGTGTCCTCCATGTTGGTAAAACGTGGGTTGTTGTTGTTGTTGTGGTTGTTGGAAAAAGCCTGTCCGCGGAAGCAAGTGAGAGTGGTGAATACCGAGGAGATCGCTGTCTTCGAACCCGAAAATGAGCATCAAATTGTACTCGAAGGTTTGGAATCTCCGGAACTCGCTGCTTACTAACTGTCCTCCTCGTTCACAGAGCAATAGACTTGTTTTTAATTAACATAACGCTCTCGATACCTCTAATTGTACAGTTCTATTCTCGAACACCCAAAATTGCTAAAGATCCACTTTCTAGAAAATACTATAACTCGAGGAGTAGAGACGTGCCCTGTCACACTACCCTATGAAAATTCTCAATATGCTAAGACTTGGAGGTTTAGGGGCTATGTGCAACGCAAGATTAAGGATGAGGCTAATAATTTACTTGCATGTGAAAGTGATATCAACCTGAACAATCGGCAAAACCTTAATGCCCGGGGTCCGATTTCGGCATTTACATTGCGATATGCAACAAATTTCGACGTTTCGTGGACAGTCACCAATTCACTTGAATGTGAGTGTGAATGTGAATGTGAATGTGAGGTCGAGATGTTCTGGGCCTTGTTCCGTCACACTCGGTTGATGTGCAACGAGAGGAGGAGCTTAATTGCCATTGATTCTTTCAGATGTTTATCCGAACATGTAGATGGGCACAAAAGACTCAATTTTGGAGACTAAACTGTTATTTGCTGGTACAAAGGTATAGCCGAAATGGCAGATGTGCAACGGAATCCTTGAGATGAAGCTAGAGAGACGACTAATTTGTTATCAACTAATGTATAGAAATAAATGAGAACACAGATGTGCAGAATATCGGCGAAAGCTCGAAGGTAATTGTCCCAAACTACTACTTATATTCCAAAACAGACAAATATTTGGAAGGCAAAGACAAAGCAATGCAAAGAACCGGGAATGAACGCATGCATTGCTACTTGCAACTTCAAACTTGAACTTCTATGATATTTTAAGTGGTCTTGTCTACCTTCTATCTAATGAAACTTGGTGCCCAACTTCTCCACATAATATTCGGAAGTGACTCGAACCTGGACATGCTAGACGGAAGACCAAAACAGTGACTTTGTGTCTTAGGTTCAAGAAAGAGGCTTACCAACTTGCACAGCGTGGGGTTGAGGATAGCTCAGCAGAAGAGTTACAAGACTCCATATAATCATTTGCCGGCCTTGGCTGGGTTGAGAACATAGATTGATCACAGGAAAATTAGAATCTAAATTTAGCCCAGCATTGATATTGGGGCAATTTGGTTGGTCGGCAAGCCATACAATGCCAAGCGTGCCTAAAATGTGCCCACTCTGACTCGGAATAGCCGAGAGATTTGTTTAGAAGGTGTCAAATCCAGGTCCCCGAAGACTTCGAGAGATTAGCTTGGCTCAAGGTATATCAATTTAGAAAGGAAGCAAACCTTAGTGTTGGATATTGACTTGCTGGTGCTGACTCTGCTGAGACACATAGTATAAATATCTCGCTCAGAGGCGGAAGATGTATTTACTTGCTGGAAGCTGAAATATAAGTCAACGAGGTAGCTATGAAGGCCGATAGTCTGTTTGCTACGGAGACAACGGCATAAAGTGACAGGAATACAGTACATACGCGCAAGTTAAGGGCTCTTAGGGTACTATAAACTCAATTTCCACTATAATTAACTGCGAAAGCCCTCTATATCTCTAAGCATCTACCCCAAAAGCGCGCCGTAGGCCATCGGCAAGCCTGGGGTCCATCTTCAAGGTTTCTAGCGTTTCTGGCAGAGTAACTATAGTACTTGGATGCTATAAGGCAACCTTTTATAGGGCCCGTTGGAGAACTTATCCTTACAAGTACAATAAACAGCTCTTGAAAGGTGTGAGACCCTTTGTAAATGTCTCACGGCCTTAAATTTGGGCTTGAAGCCTAGAGTTATAGGGCTTTATGGCGGGCGTAATCCTTTCAATCACACGTATTAGTGCCTTCGGAGCCCTGAACCTGCCCGTATGCCCTGTATACCCGTCACTTTATGCCGTTAACTACGCAAATGGGCATTAAATAATATTTCGAATATACAGCGGCCACAATGATAGTCTTTGAGCGATTCCCAAAGAAGTTTGGCGTGATAGCTTATCCCGGAATTGCGTTAGAGTGTTGAGGAAGGTTTTTTCTGAGGGACAAGCTACTATGTGCCGTCCCTTTGGAAAGATCATCAATTCATCTCAAAGCGCTCGATTAATTATGATAGATTCTTCCCTAAATTGTAACTCACATTCAGCACGGGGCTATCTGTACATGGTGTCGATTTTTCCATATCCGTCGGTGAACCAACCTTTGGTTTGCGTTGGACTTGGAGGCATAAGTCCAAATGCGAAGATAAGTAGACCTTCAGTGAGCACGCGCTATTATTGCCTTTTCGTTAGTTCTGCAGTAAACAAGCAGGGGATACGCCAATAGGGAACTCAACATCTCTGGTCGTACCTGAATGGGAAAGAGCCTGTGCCACCAAGCAAATGTCCCTACACCTCTCATGTGAAGGTACCAAATGCCAGAAAATTGGAGGTGTTATATAGCTCTGGGTTGCTCGGCACGCCGTAATACGGCATGCAAATGACAACAGAGTCCACAGTGATGCTTGGTAGTCTTGGTTTTGGTATAGCATCTATGTATGGCATTTGAAGCCACATATTTCAGTATATTTGTGTTCTCTGTTCACCTCTTGGCTTAGCTGCCATGTTCGACACAGTACTCAGAGTCAAGCCGGAGAGACCTTCACCGGAAGAATGCCTAAGCTAGAGGGAACAGCCTCTACGAGTTACTTATTTGTTTGGCTCTCTTGTTAACTCATTCGAGCTGTAACAGATAAGACCACAGGTGTAACGTGATGCTTCCAGAATACTGAGCCAATTCGGTTTGGCTTAGCTCTTTTGCATCAACTTGAAATATGAATCTTTTTGACCCGGTTGCCCCAAGGCCAAAGTACTAAACATCTATAAACATCTAAAGACATCACAATTGGGCTACTGGGGAGGAGTGTGGAGCAGCTGTGGATGTGGGGGTGCCTGGGTGGGGTGATGCTGGACTGCCAGCGATGTAGCATCGAGTCCAGTGGACCATGTTTCTTCAACACTTGGACAGGAGATAATCTCCTCAACTTGGATTGGTCAGTGTCTTTCAATAGAAGTGATGAAAGACAGTGTGGTGTTCCGGTCCAGTCCCAGATCTCGCAGGATGATGTTACATTCAGGGATGAAGTCGTGCTAGCCGAAATCCTTGGCATGCCTGCAGAATCTCAACACTTCGACCTCCCAATGGCTTCGAACAACAGAAGATAAGCCAATTACAAAAGACACGATCTTTATTGGTGATCTTAAGTCCGCCATATCTAGGCTTAGGGTCATCGGTGTGCTTCAGCACCGATGTCACATCTGAGTCCGCTCGCTTACTGGATATTGATTACCCCTTTTCTGCACGGATGGCATAATAATGGGCCCTCCCCAGAAACACAGCGCTGGCTACGAATCCCTGGGGTTGGTGGCTAGCCATCCAGGAAGAGTGGCATGTGAGGCTTATCGGTATGAAGTAGTCTCGTTGAATACTAATAGGTTGATGAAACCAAAAGAAAACACTTTCGACATTCTGAGCTTTCTTGACATATTACCTTTCCTCAATTGCCTGAAACACGACTCTTATGACATTCGTTGAACAATCATGGCTCCTCATGCTGCAGACATCGATACTTCTCCTGTAACCGCTACCGACGACCAGGTTCCAAGCTCTAAACTCGCTGCGGCTGGCATCTCCCCCAACAAGACAGAGGCCACTCCACTGATTAAGCCTCTAAATTATGGAGGGAGTCTTGACGAATACCCATCCTTCGATGTCACCTCTGTGATTGGAAGAGAATTCCCTACCGCAAGCATCCTGGAAATCTTGAAGGACGATGCGAAAATCAGAGTTCTTCGCAATCACGGGTATGTAATAAACCACACAGACGCGATTTCAGGAGAAATGGAAAGACTGAATATGACACAAACAGCTTTGGAGCGCGGAGTTGTGTTCTTTCGTAACCAAAACGACCTCACCTTTGAGGATCAGAAGACTCTTGGGCAAAAGCTGGGTGAGCTAACGGGAAAGCCTGACACTTCGAAGGTAGAGTCCTCATCTCAAAAAACAAGGATCAAATGTTTACTGTTCTATCTGAAGCTTCACCGACATGCACTTCTGAACGGCCAGAGGGGTATCGCTGTCGACGGGAATGGAAATAAGCTTGATGATGAGATCTCAGTTATCTCATCCGAGGTAAGATCTTATCTTGACCTTCACTGAATGACGTTCTCGACTTTGCAGCTTATTATTCTGACAATGTACAGCAATTAAGAAAGTTTTATAAGGAACGATTCAGTCCCCATGCGAAGAGGACTGCAAGCGAAGGATGGCATGCGGAGTAAGCTGACCCCCAACCATTGTCAAGACTCATTGGCAAACAACTTTCCAACAGCATTACGTTTGAACATGTACCATCCGATTACGCCATACTCCAGATCAAAACTCTCCCAGAAGATGCGGGTGGGGACACGTTGTGGGCATCAGGGTATGAAGTATACGACAGGTTGTCTCCAACTTGGCAAAGAATAGCAGATGGGCTCACCGCAACTCATTATGCAGTACGTTCAAGCCGTTTTCTGTACTAGTAGGAACCGTGACTGAATATTATAGCCTGGATTCCTCGACGTTAAAAATGATCATGGAGTTGGTTTGATCGATGAAACAGAGGTTCTCCTGACAACAGAGGTTTGGATTTCAAAGCAGAACAGTGAGCCCGAGCGAACATGAGAGTAGATCTGCTGCTGATTTCTCACTAGCCCAGTTGTGCGCACCAAACCTGTGACTGGGTAAGAGTATTAACTTCAATGGGCTGAATTTGAAGCTTACTCATGACAGGTGGAAGAGCATTTTCGGAGCAGGGCAGCAGATTAACAAGGGCTGGATCAACGATGTTACAGAGCGCGAGAGCAACCTCATCAAAGACTACTGTAAGAAAAACCTCCACACGCACTATGACTAAATTACAACTAACATTAGCTCAGTTCTGGAGTTGATTGCCCAGAATCATGATTTGCAAGTTCGATTCAAGTGGAACAAGAACGACGTAGCGATTTGGGATAAGTATGAGCTTTCTACCCCATTGAACTTGATGATTTACTGATTACTCTCACCAGTCGTTCCGTGTTTCACACGGCCACGAAGTAAGCCATTCCCTTATCGCACCGGCGGCTGCAGCTAACCTTCATCCAGTGACTCTGACGGCAAACGGCAAGGGAACCGTGTCGTGTCTATTGGCGAGAAGCCATATTTTGACCCAAATTCTGCGTCTCGTCAGGAGGCACTTACAGCTCGTAGTGGTTAGATGCGAGGTGCTGGAAGATTTTCCAACGCTACGAGGGCTCAAGGTGCTATAATATTATCACTTACTTCAAGTGTATCGGCTATTGGAATTTTGCATAGCCTTTTCAATTCTGGTAAATATCGAGCACTTTGTCAATGTTACCTCTTACATTCTGCTATTCCTCCGACTCAATGAATCCGGGATACTTGTGATACCGAGCGGACTTGCCCATTCCAGATTCCTGCTGAAATTCAATGAGCATCCCAAGGTGCTGCAACAGAACTGAAATAGCTGAAATGAGTTTTCTTCATGCCAGGGTGAGGGTACCAATCGTCCAAAGACCTCTCGGATCTCCGAGAACATGGCTTTACAAAGATGAAGGCACTGGAGGCTTCTGATTAGGGTTTTCGAAACCAATATTTCTATGGAACATTCTTGCGAACAATTCTTAGGGATTTCTGAGGGTTTGAAAGTTGGGCAAGCCTTAGGGCTGCTTTTCTGAGCAGTTGGGTTGTGCCCGATTTTGCTGGGGGAATCTCGCTTACGGTTTAAGTGAATAGGAGAATCAAAACAATACAATAATATCAAATTTGATTGACAAGGGACAATAATTCTTCGGATTTACAATTACTTTTATGCTGACTGCAGTCAAATCTATTAATATATCCTAGTAAATAAGCCAGAATTTATTCCGTTGTATCTTTTGTCATGCGGGTATATCTTACTTGTCAGAGTGACTTGTGTTGTCTTGGCCTGGCCTTGAATATTTTATCCTGTCTGACCTGCTTCGCTTTTATCTTGAAATTCACTTCCAGCAACTGCGTGTTGAATAAGAGCTGCTGCTCGGAAGATTTCGGGAAGTGCCGGGAGGGGGATACGTTTCGAGCCTCCGAAATTTGGGTAGGGCTGTCAATCACCTTCCAGCCTTGCGGAAATCTCGAAGCGAACTCCTGAAATCGGCTTCTCGTAACTTCCCACAACACCAATAATGATGTCTGGCTTCATTCTCGCACATCACCGTCCCCTGTGCTGAATAGTTTGCGCTACTGTTGTCCCAGATCTGACTTCCGTCTGAGCTTTTGCTTCGAATGCTTTCAATATGCTCGCCGTGTAAGCCCTCCCTCCCACCAGCCTCCATCAAATCACAGCAGACCCGCTTTTGCAGCCCTTCATTTACGATCAAACAGTCCCAGCTCTGTTTGCTGATCTTTCCAGTTATAATCCTCCTCGCCGGCGTAGCCAGGACAGCGACGCGACCATCGAGCTCGAGAGGGTCATCCCAGCTGGGGCACCGTACTTGACTAAGGTCAATGGCAAACTCGTTATGGCACGCGATAAGAGAATCAAAGCAGCTAATGTTGCGGTCGATCTTCTGGGAGAAGCCTTTGGAACTAAGACTCGAATCATTCGCAAACGAGCCAAGTCTCTCGACAAGCCGAACGGACCGTTACTCATCGGCGGCGTGCCTTATGTACCCCAACAACAGATCGCATACACACCATATACCACGCCCCTTCCACAACAGGCTTTCTCCTCCCCAAATCTCGTGCCGTACCCTCCACAACCTCCGTTTATCTTGCCAAACCCGTCGCAGCAAGACCTCAATCAGCTACAGCAGATGCAGGCGCATTTCAGCAAGATGTACGGTCCTGAGGCTCCAAACAACACAGGCAATACCAAAATAGAGGTCACGAAGACTATGATTACAATTACTAAGCATATATGCGCCGGGTGTGGGAGAATTAGGTCGAAGAAGTACCACCACGACCACCCTTTGAAGGAAGGAGAGAAGCCCGAGCCGGATTTCTGCAGAAAATGTCAGAAGGACTCAAGCTCCACAGACAGCGAAGGGGGGAGCAGAGAAAGAAAGAAGACGGGAAAGAAGGGAAAGAAGGCAAAGCATAAGAGACACCACACCGTAAGAGCAGAGCACGTAGACTCATCGGTGACTGCTGATTTTGGAGTACAGAAGAGCTGCAAGTATTCCAGTGACGAAGACGATTCTGATGCTCCAACGGCAAAGGCACATACAAAGCCAAAGCATCACGCAAAGGTTGGTTCTCTGAATCTTTTGAAAATGTTTCAAGGCTAACCTCGTCGCAGAAAGAGCCGAAGCGAGTACCATCGGAGGAGTACATCATTGTTGAAGAGGAGATTTCGGAGGATCCCACACCGCGACCCCGAGGCAGAGTTCGTGAAAGATTTGTTGAGAAAATCAAAATTGACAGATATCCCTCCGGCTCCCGTCCGTCTTCGCAAAGACCACGATCAACAAGCCGCAAAGGATCGTATAAAATACCCAGAAAGCCGGTACGACCGGCAAAAGTCAAGGAAACCGTGGTTCGCGAGACTATTCGTCGACGGTCACCATCAATCGAATACCGATACGTGGATGTTGGGCGAAAATCTCCTGTCCTTGAAGAGAGAGTTGAAACAAATCCGAGAAAGATACCGGTTCATTTCTACGATGACCTTCTCCACGAACAGCCACCTCATCCTAGAGATACTTATTGGGAGCATGGAAAACGTGAGCGAGGGTCTTCTGGAAAAGAGTACAGTGTTGAGGAGGTTGAGACAGTCAGCCGAGATCCTTCCTCCAGAGGCTATTATGAACGAGGAGAACCGGAGAAAGAGTACTTTATCGAAGAGGTTGAGACAGTTGGCAGGCGAGGTCCGAGCAGAGAATACTATGAGGAACGAGAGGTTATCAGAGAACCTCCGTTGAGAGAGTACCATGGAGAGCAGGAAGGCCCTATTTCGTCTCGTACAGAAGAGGCGCGTCAACGCCGAAGACGAGAACGAAACTCTCCAACTTCTGTCACACCTCCATGGGACGCACCTCACGTCATCCACCCAACAGGAAACGAGGATCTCATCGTGGTCACTGAACGGTACGAGTATAGGCCAAAGAAGCGAGCGGGTTCAGAGGAGGACCGGAGAAGACAAGAATATGTTGATCGTGTCACACTTGATCGCCGTCAAGCAAGTCAGTTTGAGTTGGAGGAAGCTGCAAGATATTACCATGAGGATTGGTCAAGAGCGGAGCCTGAGCCTCCGCGAGAGCCATTGAGAAGAGTGGAGCATCATGGATCTGCTAGCTATCGTCGAGACAGACATCAAGATGCGGAGCTTAGTGATTCCGAGGCCAGTTGTGAGTACAGAACTGGTAAGTGAAGCGCAACCTCCAGCAGCGCTTTGCGGATGAACACTAACCTCCTATCAGGTCGCGGCAATGTTCCACGAGCACCTACGCCCCCTTCTGCAATCTATCATACAAACAATGCAGAGAACTGGCAAGACCGACAACAGCCGCCATACCCATTGAGTTCCGACTCGGAAGTCCCACAGCGCTTGAACAGCTTGCAAAGGGGGAAAGGACACGAACCACCGCACAACATGGCACGGGGTCACGAACGAAGCAGAAGCACATCTCGAGCTCGGCCAGCATATGTACAAGAAGCCACAGGCGGCGTAACAGAGAGAGCTTCACCTTCTAAAGCTCTGATCCCATCCCCGCGACGATCAAGAGAGCTAGAGCGCGAAGCAGAGAGGTATGTAGAAGTCACAACATCTAAATTGGCGGAGAGAGAGAGGATTGCGGAGAGCGAGGCGAGACATGTGACATTCAGGGAGACGCCGACTATGTTGTCGATGCAGAATAGTTGGACGGAGACTTCGGAGCTTGGGCCGGTGCATCCTGAGACGACGGGGAGTGGGTGGTGTCATGGTGCTGAGAGTAGAGAGGATAGAGGGTGGAACCATGGATTTGAGAGTGCTGAGGCAAGCGGGTGGAATCATTGAACATGATGTTCGACCATTTACCGGCAGATAGAGATAGGAGAGAAAATTGGTGGGGCTGGACTGGATCTACCTATATAAGGGACGGTCATTGATTCGGTGGGTCGGATTGAGAAAATGAGGTGCTGGAGTTTTAGTTGTTAGCTTGCTGTATGAAGGTGTAATTAGTCAATTATTCCTTGGAGTTTGTGTGTTGCCGCTGTTGTGAGTGTGAAGTGTCATCGGGAACCACTCCGGGATATATACTGTGAAATAATTTTCCCTCTCCTTGGCAGCCCGGAAGTTCCGGTCATTGGCTGCGTCAATGGCGGCCAGACTGCGAGTTTCCGGATCCATACTAAAATTAAGAACCGAAGTGGGTAAGCTCAAGACCTTTTCATTCTCAAATACTCCTACACCCGCCAGGCAAATGACTCGGAGAGACTGCGTACTTTCAATTGAGCCGAGGGTGAAGTGTATATATATTTCGGCGACGTCCATGGTATGACTGGGCTTCATAGTGAGCTTTTGGCCGGAAACCAGGCCAAATATGCCGTAGTTTTTGACTCTCAGATCAGTGGCAAGGGACGATCTCGTTTTTGCGGCGAGGACGAATGAGTCTGGATCAAGGCCATTCGGCGCCGCTCTCCTCTTCTTCCTCGTCGATCCATATCAGCACCTTCTCTGCTTGTGAATATATCTTGCCGATAAGTGGGGTCTGACTGCTTTTCCCTTCGGTCGAGGATTGATCTATGCACAGCGCGTCAATCCAGGGGTGAGGTGTTCCTGGTCTGGCCCGCAATCTCACCAAAGCTTGCCATAGATTCGTTGTAACTCGGGGAGGGGATCCATTTAGAGTAATCGGTTGAGTGATAGCTGCATCTCCTCAAACATATGAGAGCACATTGTACCCAGAAGAACTTGACAATTTAGCGGCTTCACACTGGCACCGGATCTCTGTCGAAGGATCGTCTGGCGCTTCAATGGTGACAAGCCGGATTTCTTCCTTGTCAATTCTTAGTCGAATATAGAGCTTCAAAACAGTTTCCGTTGTCATTTCTGACATGTTTTCAAATGTTCTGAGCGCTTGTGGGACAACAGTCAACTCTGGGAAGGATAATGAATGAGACAAAGCCCAGTGTGAGCGAGGGTTGGAACTCCCGCCACCAAATACACAGCCGGTAGGTAATGTGACGAGCCAGGCGTTGTTAGGACTACAAGCAATAATTAGATTGGTCGGTAGAAAATCGATGAAGTTGTTGTAATATATTGATGGTTGAAATGCAGGATTAAGTGAGGTCAGGTAAGTGGAAGCTGAGGAATGGGCTCAGTGATTACTCAGCCCTGAAGCACGCTAAAATGCATGCGTACAATACAACTGGGCACGGAAAATATTTGATCCTGACTAACGAGTAACGTGTTCGCTAAAATAGGGGTAGCCTCCTTTTGGTTTTATCTGTCTGTTGCGATCATTAATATCAGCAAAAGTGCATGCATGCCCGAATATTCTGTCTTCAGTACCATAATGTACCACAGTGAAGTTACTAAAACCTTTGAGGCTGTAACACCCAGTTCAGGGACATAGTGAAGTAGGGCACACGCCTAGTCACCCGAGCCCGAGCGAGACTTTCTCGGTCCCAACGTGTACCAGCTTGTATGTCATCGTCGTACGTCACCACATTTATACAAATCACAATTCCCCTCTTTGCTAAGCGCGAATCTCTTTCTTGACTCCTTACAATTTCTTGCCTTCAGCCCTCACTTAATATTTCACAACTTTCCGTCATGATGGAGTACAAATTTGAGGGAAAATTGAGAAAAGACTCAATTTTTTCTTTTTTCCTTTTTTCAAAACAGTTCACTCATGTTGTGTATCTCAATTAGGAAAGTTCACTGTGGGCCTCTTTGCTCCCTCCAAGTGTGGCTTAAACGTAGAAGACACGATATCCCCATAATCGAAATTCTTCCTAGGTTCCATCCGCAGCTCCGCTCTCCCATACTTCAGCTTTGCATTTGAAGAGAAGTTTTCTCAACGCATCCAAAACCCAACCCCTTTCTTTCGCAGCAATTTTTCGTTGGAAGTTCCCCACCTTCCAGATCCCTTGTACGACATCTGGTAGAATAACCAGAATCCTGCAAGTGCCTCAGAAATAGACAAAGAGCGATCGACGCTAAGCTCAACGCTACCGATTTTGTAAAAAGAATAGGATTGTCGAGAAAGAGGTGGGCATCATGAAATATCCAGACAACCCAGATAAAGACAGAGGTGGTTCCAGTTATTACTGCCCCAGAACGGGCAGCAAAATACTCTATCACCTTTTGATATGGTATCCAATATGGACGTTTCTTCTGGCTGAGCGTATTGGTTTGGCGGAGGTGGGGATTTGATTGTGTCCATGGCGAAAATATGAATTTATGAAAATACGTGCACTTGATTTTAAGACTGAACCCGATAGATTGTCTAATATGCAACAGGAAGATAATATTAAAACGCTGCCATGTTTGACGAGGCTAAAAGTATGTCGCAGGATGAGATCGTGGGCTAGCCCGGCTGGGAAAGTGCGCCCGATTCCTAGTGGACCAGAGATATTCTCAAAGCAGCGTCACGCCGTCTAGATCCTCATGCTTCGCTTTCCCCATTTTAGAATTTCCCTCCTTTCTCCGCATCCTCCGCATTGCCGAGTTCAGAGCAAAGCATAGAAGCTTAAAATAATTTGTCAGAAGGAGTCGAAACACTCACTCAAGATGAGCGGTATTGATTGTTCCAAGAAGTTACGGTACACCGGAAAATTTGAAGTCTTGAGCTCCGCCATTGAGATCGATGCAATCCATCACAGCTGAATTCGAACCTCGTTACTTTCTACTTTCCCCGAAAACTCTCGTCCAGAAGTTTGTGGTAATGCATGACGTGTCAAATGTTTCTTAGATGTAGAGCCACAACCTCTGCATAAGAATATCTGCAGCTTTCATGGATTCGCCTTTATCCGAACCTGTGCCTTTCTCATCCTCGACAAGTCTCATCCAAGCCCACCTGAAAATCTATGAATAGGCCTGGTGTCACTGATATTGTTTGCCCGCGGATGACAAGCACTGCGCGGGCATGCTGCAGAAACTGAAGAGGGTAATTGATAGTTGTGCCCGCATCCCCCTGCAATTTAACGATTTCCTTGCCATATTTGAGGTGCCTTCGAATGTTCGTGTCAGTGGTGGTGGAAGAGGTTCCGGAGAAGTAATTGTTGAGCCACTGAATGAAGTTGGTTTTCCATGCTCGTAGGTAGAAGACTGGGACCCAGAAGGTTTTAAGCCTTATCATTCATTTCTTTACCCTAATTTGCAGAATTTAACATGGATTACTTCCCAAAAGGCCACCAGATTGTTCAAAGTCCGAATTCCTTCTCTTCCAGATCTGAAGAGTCAGAAAACTCCAGTGGCTCGCCTTCCTGGCAGAGGTCTTGCCCATCACCAACACCTATTTCCTCATCTTAGGGCTCCGAAATGAATATCACCAATGCCAAACCAGAAGGAAACACTATAAAAGTATATCCAGTCGAAGTCAACCAAGGGCTCGTACCGAACTCCTCCATCTTTGTCGCCTATCGGTTGACTGCAAACGACAAAACGTCCCGTAGCAATAACGCAAAAATGACAATGACAATGAAGCATCCACCAGAGAGGGCCGGCTTTGGAAGGCCTTCAAAGTTTCCTACTGTTGTTGTCGTTGTCGGCGGGACTTTGGCGTGCGGGCATGTAAAAATGCCACTGCAGGGGACTCGCGTGAGTATTGTCCTCTTCATAGCCGGGACAATCATGGACGCACTCCGCAACGGTGTGGAGGTGTAGCTTTGAGTGGTCCGTTGCCTTTCCAATGGTGGTGAAAGTCTCCAAACATTCCAACCATTCTCGATAGTAGCAGGGATATCTCTCTTGGCCCCCTTCGGTGATACTATCTCTCTGATAGGACCCCATAGGCTTCACACCTTGGAGAGTCTGCATTCCCGCGTGGCGTTTTGGGAGGCGAGTGCTAGAGATGTTTTTATGATAGCCTGCTCCTAGCAACTGGCGTGAAGATTTCGTTTTGCGTCCCGCCTCGATAGAAGCTTCGGATTTCGTGGTCTCCATGATCTTTGACTGGACTGGTGCCATTATCTTGTATAAAATGGTGAGGAAATGTATTACAAATTGAAGTCTATCAACTTGAGAAACAATGGGATATGGTATGACAGAAACACTTCGTTACCGAATGAAGTCATGGTACGAATGGTTGGGCCGATGACGCCCGTGAGCACGACTTCCACTGTCAGCCGACTCTGGGCCCGTAGTTTACTAGTTCCAAACGAAATCACCAACAATGCCTCTACTTGGGTCGGGATCGACACGTAAAATTAAAAAACGTAAAAATGTAAATCGTGCAAAAACCTTCTTCCTTCAATGTGCTCGAGTCCTTTAGCCACTGCTCAAGCCGGCGTGAGTGAAACTTTAGCCCCATTCTTACTCGACATAGTTAATTCATGAACCTCGTCTCTATTTTCCAAGCCCTTGAACTCCTGCGCAAGCCTCACCAGTGGATATGCTACTTGTGTTAGCACAATCTGCTGCGCAGGACACATCCTTGGTTCCCTATAGAGAGGCTCATATTGGCACTTCGCTTGCCACAACGGCCTCGCCTCACCCCATCTCTCTGCCTTAAATTCCCCCACATCGCCTCCCCAAATGTCGGGATTAGTATGAGCAGCGGCAAGATTCGCTAAGACGCTTCTATCTATATAACATTGTCGTACGGTCGGACCACCAGTTAAAATTCCTGGTTACGGGTTCTCACCTAAGCAGGAATACCAAAACTTCCAGCCTACGCTTCGCTCTAGCCTCCTTTTCTCCTTTTATCCGGCCAGTAAGCTTTCTTTTATAATAAATTCCTCTTCCCGTAATTTTTATACAAGTTATATGCAATATTATTCCTTCTCTCAATTTCCTTATAATCCTAATAGCATAGCATATAAGACATATCTATATTATAGGGTTTCTCTCTCTTCTCTCTTCTTCTCCTATAGCTAACCTCTTTTTAGGCCCGCCAGAGGATATACTAGCCTGCTCTTACTAAGCTCGATCCTAATACGCCCCGGCAGACCCGTGGCGGTCTATAATAGCCAGTTACGGACGGGGATAAGAACCTACGGCCCCGCAAGTATATTTAGCAGACTAATATATAAATCAAACGAGACCGTATTCTGGCTATAGCAAATCCTCCTGCTTCTCCTGCTCCTCCTAGCCCTTCTTCTTTACTATCCGGCTTCTGTTTACTCTTTTGGTTTTCGCCAGTCTATAATCTTGGCCTAATAAATATTTAGTATAAGGATTATAGGGCAAGATACTAGGAATTAGAGATAATTATAGGTATATATTAGAGATTTAAACTCTATTATAAGAGAGAAGATATAGTATTAGATAAGTTACGGGTACTATTACCCTTTTTATAAGTGCTTTTCGAGAAAGATAATCTATAAGCCTATAGCTTTTATTAGAATATAAGAATATATAACTCGGTATTTGCTTTTATATTTATAAGCTATACTAAAGATATTTATACTAATCTTTCTTATAGTCTTTACTACTTTTAGATCTATAGGAAGCTATTTTATTATTAGAAATTCTTAAAGCCAGGCTTATAATAAGTTCTGGCCTTTACCTAGTTATTTTTTTTATAATCTAGACTATATAACTAATTTCCGGTTATAGTATTACCTATAACTTAATTAAACTATTTTCTATAGCCTTTATGAAATACTTATAAATTATAGTAATTTCTTTATACGGATTTATAAGATAGCCCGAAAGTAATTAGCTAGCTAAACGGATTATTTTCGGATTTTTCTTAGTTTATAAATATATCTAATTTTCTAGTCTAGGGCAGATTATTATTATAAGAACCTTCCTATAATTATAAAGCTAGTAAGAATTCTTTTAGATAAGTTTATAAATAAGAGTTAATATAATATTCTTCTTATAGTTTATAAGTCTAATTATTAAGGTTTATAACTTTACTAAATAGTTATTACTTATATAATATATATATTACTTTATTATATACTTCTTTTCTTATATAGTAAATATAGGTAATACTATAAAATAATCTTATAGAATATTTATTATATTTATTAATAGTTCTATTTAAAATAATAGCTCTTTTACTAGTTTCATTTATATATCTATAATTATAAGAAATCTTTTTTCTTTTAGGCTTATTAGCTCTTTTAGTAATATAT